CCTACCTTGTATAGTTCCTTCTTCTGCTCCTTGTTTCGAAGCAGCTGGAGTGTTTCGAGGCCACTTCATCGTGATTACGAAAACCAAAGTGACTACTGCCGTCAGGAAAGTTATGACCACAGCGACAACCATCAAGAGCTGCATTCGTTGGATTTTCCGGACATCTTTTCTCGAAGCATTCAACGTCTTTGGCGGCGCTTGTCTTCTGTTGCGGCTATCTTGATTGGTATTTCCCACATTACCTCTTTGTACTCCTACATCAGTCGCAGACTCGTCCTCAACGACGTTTTCGTATACTTCATTAATTCTTGTTTCGGGCTGCAGCTCAAAGTAGACTTCGTATGGCCGTGTTGGTGTCGTATACATGGTTGTCAGCCCAAAGTAATTGAAGTCACCTTCAAACGACTGAACGCTTTCAAACGTAGTAGAAATTAAGCACCCCTCTCATGGTTAACGCATTTTATTGGCCGATACCTTATAAGTAGCTTTAAAAATACAGGGGCGGATCCAGGATCTTTTTTAGGAGGGGGTGCACTCGTCTATTGCTCTACTTCAACACCAGTAAACCACGTTTTTTTTTTTTTTTTGCAGAATACCAGTTGTATTAGAAAACCTCAGGTCATCTCGGGGGGGGCACGCACCACCTGCACCCTCCCCCTAGCTCCGCCCCTGAAATAAGTATGTCTCCTAAAAGAAACGTAATAAGACAATATTTTCACATGACGATCGCGATTAAAACATACAAACGGACAAAGTAAAAGAACAAATAAAAATAACATGAAGGTTTGACGACTACACTGGCCTCCTAGCTAAACTTTTCTCAAGTAGTTTTTCTTAAGTTCCTTATTCTATAGCGATAATGCGATTCAGTAATATACGGATGTTACGGGGCGATAATACACGACTGCGAGTTTTTTGAAAACGGCTTCAAAATCTCCAATATAGATCAACTCATTCTTGCACTGATTTCAGATTTGGGGTTATTTTGGTCTAAAAATTAGACATAAAGTTTAGCCGTGTCTTTATCAAATATAAAGACACTCACTCAACATTAATTTATCTTGTTTTTGTTTTTGTTTGTTTGTTTGTTTGTTTTTAATTATTACTGAAATAAAAGAGTTTTTGAAGGTAAATAAAACACCTTCCGTCCACTTTAACCAGCTAATATATATTCACTAGTACTGCGCAAATTTAGATGGTGCGGATGGCGATTGAAAGGCTCTCATGTCCGACTGAATCGAGAAGAATGTATAAAGATGGCCGATCACTTGATTTAAAATATAAAGAAAACAGCCGGAAAATGATTGGCATGGGAAAAAGTAAAGTTTAGTTTATTTATACTACGAGACTCTAGTGTCATAATGCTCTATCAGTAAGGCGAGACTTTTTAACCAACCTTACGCTTTCTTTAGATTCCACTTATAAGTACAAAAAGAGTATAAACATGACAACCATACAATCGTTTGAAACAAACAAACACGAAAGTCACAAAAGGAGACCAAAGAAAGTACGCAGGTCACGTTGTATTTAAGTAATAATACAAATACGCCTTTTATCGGATCTAAATAATAACGAAACAAAACAGGACGTTAATATCATAAACTTAATAACAAATCTAATAATAATAATAATAATAATAATAACAACAACGCTTTATTATAATTGCAGTTCTTATCTGGGTAAAATGTTTGCGTAGAACTTATCTGACCATCACTAGTACTCGTCACGTATGTGTCACCGATGTGTCACGAGTGCTTGACATTATATTCACGCGATTTACCCACAACAATTTGTTCTGTGGGTGAACAAGGGGCGATATTACGGTGAGTTCCACATTTTTTTGGTCAAAGCTGTGGTGAAGTTATAACGACTACTCTCAGTCATCCCTTGCGTACTTGGAATGCCAGAAATTAAACGATTCTACGAAAGGAAAAACAAAGCATTATCTCCTTTTGGGAATTTTTTTTTTCGACTACATCGCTAGGAGTTTGGTTTGAACAAGTTGGCCCAATGTTTTTCTAGTTTTGATCCATTTCCATCCTGGCCACCTAAAGCCAAAGTTGAGGCATTGGAGTGGACCCATTTTAATTAAAACGGAACCGTAATTTTAGGGCTCTCATTCATTCACGCTATCTGAACTGCAATTAAGATAGCTTCAGCCAGGTCTTCTTCTGCGTGTGCGTTTAACCCCGACAGTACTTCCCTTTAAGTGAAAATGTGTTGGTTTTTTTTTTCATCAGAAACAAAAACGTAGGACATTATACGTTTTTTGCATCAAATGGAAACTCGGAAAAAAAAAACCCTGGCCTAATTTAATACGTGACCCATTTTCAGACAATAGGCGACCCCATGTCATGAATCAGCCTTTTGCGGCACTAACCTTCTTCTCTTTTACTGAAAGCGTCTAGTTTTTTTCGGTAAGAAACAAAAAGCGTATGACCCCAATTAAAAAAATTCGTGACCCATTATCAGACAAGGTGTCATAAACACAATAGACGACCCCATGTCATGAATCAGCTTTTAAGGCACTAAAATGCACAACAGTTCTGCATCTTTCGGTTGAAAAGCTTGTGTCTCTTCCGTGCTCCTGAAGACAGGTTTGTTTAAGATTATTTTTCTTTAACGAAATGTTTTTGTAAAGAACCCTAATGTCGTGTGTTTGGCAAATGCCTTTCTTGTGAAATGGGTTCATCTTTCTTTTGTGCCCCACATTGTACAGTCGAACGCTGCTTCCAGGCGCACACCCGCTTAATACGGACACCTCATTATTACAGACAGTTTGCTTTGTCCCTGGGGGAAAAAAGCCCTTACATTTTCTCTAGACTCAACCCTGCTTAATACGGACACCCGTTGATGGGGACAACGGACACTTGTTTCTTGCCCAATCAACAGATTCTCATACAAAGTCAACCTCGCTAATGCGGACACTTTATTACCCAATTAACTGAGTGCTGTAATAGGCCTTTCCTTTTGGAATGTAAAAACCTTTAGTTGAAATCATGTCGATGTTTCTAGAGCTACGCGGTACACCGAATTAAGGATGAACTGTGATATCAAACGAGTTATGTAGCGAACAGTTTTTGATTACGTAATGTATAATGGAGGATTTTAGAGTAGTTTCATTGACATAGTCACTGACATAGTTCGCGGAATGACGGCTTTGAGAAAATTAGATTTTGCACATGAAAAGTTCGACATGTATGTAAGAGGCGTTCCTAAGTCGAGTCGGAAAGAAAGGACCTAACCGTTCGAAATTGATTGAGACGCCTAACTTTCTATTTACTTAATTCAAGTTATGTCTACATTATACCGGATAGCTTTTCAGTGCGACATAAAATTTACAATCCGGTATAGTATTAACACCTGTAGTGGCATAGAAACCTATCCTGTACACAGCTTCATGATTCACTACGTCACAGAAACCGCGGCGAAATCACCATTCTCGTGAGTGAACTGCATGAGTTCCTCTGATTCCTGTCCGATATGGTTTCTTGCCGGTACAAAAGCTATCGGTTAGGTTCGGCCCATGAAAATTCTTGGCGTCCTTGATCAGCTTCTGACCTGAAACGCTGCCCATTTGCCGTTTAAAACCACACCACCCATTGCTGGGTTATTAATTTTTAGTAATTTAGCGTACACCCGAGGAATTCGATAATGTACTGAAAGCTTGGAGCCGAATTTCAAGGCGACGCCTGCATATGCATCGGGTAATTACCGACAAATGTCTATCTGGCTTGTTTCAATATTTTTGGAACGTCTATCTGAATGAAGCGGCGTCTCGCGTCACTTTCCACATGTGTGTGATGTCGTTCTTTAAGTATCAAATATAAAAATAGAGTTCGCATCCTCGGTATGTTTCGAGAACACATACTTATAAAGCGCTATATCAACAGCACCGCTTGAAACGAAGAAAAAAAGCACTTTCTTTGAGTGTCAGTGTATTTAGCACGAAAGTACTAATTGGGGCAGACACTATTTTTACTTCTCCTAGTGGAGACGGGGCCGCCTTTTTACGTGGTCGTCCTAGCCACGCGAAGATCGCGAGCAATTTGCATGGCAAAGGGAGTACCTACGTTGCTCAGTTATTTTAAGATCTGAAGTATTGGTCCGGCCCCGGGAATCAACCTGCGACCTCTCGCTCTGCAGTCAAACGGTATATCAACAGCACCGCTTGAAACACAACCATTTACTTTAAAAAGCAAACATGCTCCTTGCACGTTAGGTCAACTAGCTGGCCACGTACTGCAAGAGCATTTTCGACCAGAACTCGGCATCTTCGTGACGTGTTACCCGGGAGAACGACCAAAACCATCTAGGATTTAGCTTGAGAATTTATTTCTTGTGTTCAGTTATTTAATTACCAAATAAGTACCTTCCGACAACACACACGTTGATTAGCAATTATTTATAGCAATATCAACAGCATCGCGTGAAACGAAGACTCATCTGCAGTCAAAAATGCCCCTTGCACATGATGTCATCTAGCTAATCACACAAAGCAGGTGCACTGCATGTGGACCATAACTCAGCATTTTTCAGTCATCAATTTGGCAGAGCAAATATAAGTTAACTACCCGCAAGTAGCAACAAAACAGGAAGGCTGGACAAAATATAGGGTGCTGAGTAATGTAGTTGCGGCAAATAAAACATGTAACCCAAGCTCGAAATATGACCGTCGGCTTTGTTGCTTAGCGTTCGAATATAGGGATTTGTATGGGAGGAAAAAATCGGGAATCGGGAACCACACAAGCCAGAAGAAACACACAACTTAAGCGAGGTTAGTCAAATTTTAGTTAAATCTTTTCACATCCGTAGGCTACAGAAACAACCATTCCTCCCTCCCCCATCCCCCATGCAATTAGTTCGAATTCATCCCAAGTTATATTTCGAAAGTCACGCAACAGTGCCGATGGTCATATTTCCCAACGTTATTTCGAGCATGGACCACCTGTGAAAATACACGAAATGACCGCTAAAGAACTGAAATTTGGTTATTACAATATGTCGACTGAAGATGCCGAAGGTACGAGTTATCAGACTTCAGAGTATTTGCGGACATGTCATGTTCTTGTTTTTCGAATATTTTTCGTATTGTAGTTTTGACTCTCTAACATTCTCAGGTGAAACGTTTCATTTGCGTACCCAAAATCTGAAAAAACGAGTTTTTTAGTTGTTCTAGACTTGAGGGCATAAAATATTGTAGGAATGTACATCAGAGACATGTTTGAATAATTATTGGATATTTACAGGCGCCAGCTTATTTCAGGCATCATTCAATAAATTCAAAATTGATTTGACATAAAGAAAATTTGTAGGTCGGATATTAAGATTGATAAAGGAGGGTGCTTTTGAAAAGGTCATCAAAAGTTTAAAGGCTCGTTTTTGGAGGAGAAGTAACTTTTCTAAATTAGACTGTGAAGTTTGACCCCAGAGCTAATTCCATTTGTAAGGTGAGGATAAAACGAGACTGGTATAACTTGACTAAACTAGAGAGTGGTAAAATGCCTTAATTTAAACAACCATTCCAAAGATTACGGTCTTGCTGGTTCTAAGAGCGACAAATTCGATCAGAGGTAATTTTTCCAGTTAAAGGTCCTTGTCTATGAACATACTGAGATATTTGACAAAATAATCTTTACATCCCAGCGGTGAGTAAGTACCTTCATCATTTATTTAATCACTTCCACCATATGGTACGGAAGACACAACAGAACGAGGCTCCAATTTGAGTGTGTCCTTGCCCAGGAGAGGTTGGCCACACCACCGGGGTCTACGTCCCCTACTCTTCTCGAACAGTGGTGTAGGTTCTTTTACGTCCCACAAGAACAAATCATGCAGTGAAAGTGCTGTGAAACGGGACCTACGGTTTTTCGTCCTTATCCGAGAAGACTAGAAAGTCTAACCGAAGTCACTGCGAAGGCAGCACTTTCTCCTCAGTTATTTTAAGACCCTGAGTGTTGGTCCGGCTGGGATTTGAACCCGCGACCTCCCGCTTAGCAGACCGGCACTCTCCCAACTAAGCTTCCTTTTTAACCAGGCGGCGGTTATTAAATATAGTTAAGTTTGGATAAAAGGGGAGCACCTTTTTTGTAATTTCAAAAAATAATTGTTAGATTCTTTATATTTGTTCGATTGACTGCATTCCGAAATAAGAATAAATATAAATGGTCAGGAGTAAACTCTTGAAAACACTCATTTTGGCGTTCATTGCTTAGCAGTTACTAGAAATCTAGAAATCAGCGGCGCCGCTGACGAGGATCAATTTCATAAACGCCAAGCTCTTTCTACAAACGCTACTTTTTGGGCGGTTTCCCTGGAGTGTCCGCTAACCGATCCTTTCAGTATAAAGCCATAGAATAATTACCTCCGTAACCACTGAAACGACGGCTTTCCCCAGGGTAAAAGAGAGGGGCTGGGGCAAATACCAAGTGTTCTTATCCCCATATCTTCCGAGTATTTGAGATTAGAAATTTTCGTACAATGTGTGCCGCAGAGGCCACTACCGCTGTCGTATGTGCTACGGCACTCGTTTGGTTTGTTTTTGTTTTTAACTGTTTGTTTCTTCTTTTTTGGTAGTTTTTGTAGAAAAGTGAACTGCGCTACGCATCTATTTAACAAAGGAACGCTTTTTCCGCCGAAACGAAGTACACGATGTTGGGATCGGGTGATCAGAAAAAAGGTTTAAACATCAAACAACGCTTGTCGTGTGGAGTCGGCCATGTCTTCAACGACCTTTTCCGTCATCTGTACATGTCCTTTGAAATAGTTTTCCTCATGCAGGTAGTCGAGCTACCAGCTTTCCAGGCAGGGATGATTTTGTTAATAACACAGATAGTTGAGGCATTCTTTTCTCTGCTGATTGGATACCTGTGCGACCGTGTGGATATACCCCTCATTTCCAAGAGGATGGGTCGAAGAAAGTCGTGGCATTTAGTAGGAACGCTCCTCATGGCACTTACACTTCCATTTCTTTACAACAAATGCCTCCTCTGTAGCAATCATAAGACAGTTGGCTGGGCTCAATTTGCCTATTATGTCAGCATATCGGTTGCTGGAAATGTTTCATTCAGCGTGGTGGAGATAAATCATCTTTCAGTTATCTCCGCTGTCGCGAGGACACTCCAAGAAGGAATGGCAGTGAACGCTATCAGGTTCGGAATATCACCTCTTATAATTTCCAGTTTTTTTTGCTAAATTGCCTTACACCCCTCCGAAAAGCAGTCTTAGCCGTTTCCTCGCCCCAAGAACCTCGGAGGAGATTTTCCAAAAATTAACTTACTGAGAGAGAGTGTCCCCTACTTCAAGGGCCTCTCAACGTCAATTCACTAGTCTCCCTCCCCCCCCCCCCAGCAACACAAAATGTTCCGCCGTCGTCTTTGATTTTTTGTCCGTAATGTCGTCTTCTATCTTTATTCAAGCATTCACCATCTTAGATGTTATTACACCCACGTTACGATGTTGCCAGATGAATTCTGGCACTTTTAGGAAAACTCGCTGATTGATAATTTGTTCTTGACCTTTATACAGGACTGCATTTAGCTTTTTGACGGGCATTTTTGTTTACCTAATCGCGTGGGGGCTTCTGGGACAGGATAGCGGAGCGAGTCTGGGACCTGAAGACGTGTCATCATTTGCGGTAAACTATTTCTGATAAAACATACGGTAAATCCCCTATAAAGCCCTCCCTAATCCCCCCCTTAAAGGGGAAGAAAGTTAATAAGACCCCCCTCCCCTCCCTTCCAGGATGGTTTATTTACCAACTGGAAGTTCGGATTAATTTGATTCTGATCATCGGCTGCATGACCAACCTCCAACCCTCGAGTACCTAAGCTTTTCCACCTTGTATTCTAGTTCTTTATGGAGAACTGATACCGTCGTCTTTTCTACACCAAATAAGAGAACCGTCCCGCAGTGGAGAACTTGTGTGTGGATATCGGGCCTTAATGGGGGTAATGACATTAGTGTTGTTGTTGTTGTTGACTCACAGCACCTTACTTGGATTGCTACTGTTACGGGAATTGTATTTACAATCGTTTTCTACATTGGTACTAAAGAATCAAAAACTAGCACCCATCAGGAAGTGACAACACAAGACAAGTCCTCGGCCACTTTAGAGGCGAAAGTTTTGCAATATGAGAAAGAAGAGAATTATACAGATCTAGAACAGGCACATTTCAGTACATGGTGAGCTTCCTACTTTAAATTGTGCTGCAATTATGTATATAAAATAGATACACGCTGTAGATACTCTGTTATCATAGACTTAGTGAATAAACCCTGTACAGTGGATCCTAGATATCACGAAAAGCCAAGTGACTGGCAAAATATGTTCGCTATGACGAGGTTTCGTTATATGGAGGTTCTATTGTTCATATATTTTACTATTACTGGGATAAAGGAAATCTTTCGTTATACCGAAGACCTCGTTATACAAAGGTTCGTCATATCGAGGTTCTTAACTTCTGTGATACTTATTGATTATAGAAAGGTTATAACGAAAGGGGACCTGGCTCTATCATTGTGATTTGGGCTCCAATGCTATCAATATCATCACCACACCACCACCACCAGCCTTTATCACCATTACCATCAACAACAACATCATCATCATCATCATCATCATCATCATCATCAAAACCATCATCATCATCATCATCATCATTATTATCATTTTTGTTAGTCGATATCGCCTGTAATATCGCTTCTCCTCACCCCAATCGGTCATTTTCATACAAGTTCATCCTTCATCGTGAGATCCTAACCTGAACAAAACTGTGCGCATTTCCCGGAATGAATCACCCGAATTAAGGAGAATATGGAAAACGTTACATGGCCCGCGTTAGTAATCAAAGCCAAAAGTCTAATAGTCAAACTGCGCACTGGTGCAGTTTGATTTAAATACACAAATGACGCAAATGTGATGTTATTTCAGTCCTAAGGAAAAAAACAATCTGGAGACAAAAGAAGATAAGAAATGCAAGGAGAACACCGGTGCGACCTCCTCTCAGACTAATGGCTGCGTCTGTTCAATTCCTGAAGCTGGTTACAAGCTGACCCTAGTCAGTGAGGGCTACGAGAAAGACGCCAGTGACACTGAGATGGAGGAAAAGGCCCGTGACATGTCCTATGAAACAAGCCTTAAGGATGATTCGGACCGCGCCCATTCTGACGCGTACCAATCACTGAAAATAAAAACAGAACAGCTCAGTGATAGGGAGAGTAAAGGGGTAGCCAATGAAGGCTACCAGCCTGAAGTAGAGGCCAAAGATATTCCAACTAAAACAAGCTGTGAAGTGCACGATAACACCGATCAGCCTGGAATGCAAAAGTCAAAGGAGATTAAAAAAGAGGGGCTAACCATAAAGGAGAGCTACTCTGGTCATACGCTTTCCATAGTAAACGAGGGATACCGGGATGAAAACGCTACCGCTGAGGTCAAAGTCAATGACGATGATATGAAGCCATGCCTTGAACCGGCAAATAAAGCGCCAATATCAAGTGCAACACAAACCAAAGAGAGTAGAAAACACAGCTTTTCTGGTGAGAAAGAACAAGGACGCGACAACGTCGAACAGAAAGAGGACGATAACGACGATGTAGCTTTGAACGCGCCTGATGCTTTCCCTGTCGAAATAACAGCTTCGCCAGAAACAGAAACGTGGAAGACGGCATTGTTCCTGGCGCCGGAAGAACGTGGGTCGAATGAGGAAAAAAAAGAGCGTGATTCCGTGATCAAATGCGAGTTGGCAGCCGTTAGCGTCTCTGGTGATAGGAACGAAAATTCAAAGACGTTTAAAGATTGGCTAATGGATCCTAAGCTATATAAGGTTAGTTTGCCAAACATTAATGGCTAAGTTATTCTAATCGAAGTTAAAACACACAGCTGCAGCCCAGCTTCTGTTAACGGAGAACAAATCTGCTACAAAAAAATGCCATCCCATTTACCCACATCCTTTTTTATATCTTTTTATAATATCCTCTAAACACAGCGATGGTCACGCCACCTTCACAGAAATTTGGAGTCTAGTTTAGAGCTGAGGTGTCCACCTTATCGTCCCTTATAAGAAAATCTTGATTACGAAATCTGGAAAAATCGCTTTGGAATTGGGAATCCGAATTTTACTAACAAGGAATCCGAAATCCAAGTTCCACTGAGAATGAATCGGAAATGTAGTACCTGGAATCCGGAATCCTTGGCGTGGAATCCAAAATCCAAGTCTGTCTTGGATTCCCTTACAAGGGCGAGCCTTATTTAGAGTCAAAGACAATGGCTGGAGTACGTCAGAGACCAACTCTCTGAGAAAACCCTCATATATATATTATTTTACATGATGATGATCATTATTTTTCAACTGATGGCGTACAGTCTGCCTCTTTTTAACATTGTAAAGCGATAATCCTCCGTTTTCAGAATCAACGTCTCCACTTTTAAAATTGTTTTCATTAACTCCAGCTGGCGGATCAACACGACGGCCAAATATTTGATCGGTTAACGAACGATTTCGTAAAACATTTGGGCATAGAAAGTAGCGCGATAAAAACATGACGTTTTGGCGACAATGTGCCATATTTATCAAATGCAAATGAGGAGAAACGATAAAAATATATAGACAGAAGAACGAAGGTGAGAAATAATACAGCACAGACCTTTAGACGATTCTAAGACGAGGCCAACTGTCTACGAGTACGAGATTTTCACAATACTAAGCAATGCTTGCGCGTGAACCAGCGTCATTTTGGCGGGAAAACGTGATAGTCGTCTTCATTCTACTACGAGTTTTAGCGAGAATGTCGTAGTGGGGAAAAGAGGTTATCAAATCTTAGGAGTTCAGCATCTCATAAATTAGGCACTTTTTCCCTCCCACATAGCTTTAGCATGTATGGATGCCGCATGGAATTTGATTTCCCATGATTTTCAATTCCCAACAATATAGCATACTGAAGGTAGCGTCTAAATCAGCCAAGGCTATGATTAAATATTTGTGATTTTTCAGCCACTGAAAGACAGGATTTTTCTTTGATATTTTTTTATCAACAGGTTGCTGTCATCTTTACTTGTTCACGCCTTTTGCAGGATGCAACATATTCCTATTTGCCATTGTACCTAACAAAAACTCAAGGCTTTGAAAAGGTAAGAAAAACTAACGTCTTTTCAGTGTTTCCCTCGTTACCCTTACTTATTACTTTTTTCCTGATTTACTTTCTTGCGTGTTGAAAAGAATCACATTACATCAATTTCAACACAAAGGATGGCTGCGGTCAGAGAGGCAAATGCAGTGTAGCCAATTTAAACTAACCAAATGGGTTTGGTTTGCCGTCCCTTTTTCCTGCAATTAACGTCATTGCTACCAATATCGCAAGCGTCTCCCAAAATAAGCCAACGCTGGCTGGATGTGAAAAATTAGCAAGGGGATCTGAGCCAATCGGAAACAGAGAAATATTCTTGAACGAATAATGACTGTTCTTGTTACATTTCTCGGGCTCAAATTAGCTAATTCTGCCGTGATCTTTCAATTTCTAACGTTGTAACCTTCACGACTTGAACAGGAATACCCTCTGCCAGGCTCTCGGTCACTGCGGACGAGCGAAAATAGCGAGCGAGCAGTGAAATAGCGATCGAGCGAAAACTGCGGAAAGGGAGAACTTCGCTTCCTGAAAAACCGTTTCTCTTGCCAAAATGTCATAATATGTCAAAAAGTCAAAAGATGCGGTGTACCAGGGTTCTACATACTCGACATATTTGTTAGGCACTGCGCTCGCGAAGCCGGCCAGGCTCCACTTCTCCGTCTCTCCCCAGCCCCCGCGCTGTTTTCGCGCATCTTTTTCTCGATCCCCTTTCTTCTCTATCTTGGAGCCTAGAAAAGGCTAGAGCAGGGACGGAGTGATAAACATTAATTTTGCTAGCATTGATTTGCCCTTTGGATAGTTTTTGATATCTTTTTGCAACTAGTTGTATTAATCTTTACTGGACTGCTTAATTTCACAGCAAGCCGTGGCCTATTTTCCCCTTGTTCTCTTAATCAGCGCAACGCTGGGTAGCGCAGTCTCAAACAAACTCAGCAGGAAGTTCAAAAGCAAGGTACTAATTAAAAGTATACATAGACAGCGAGCAATCTATTATGTTTCTTTTCAAAGTTAAGGTGGCTCGATACAGTTTTCCAGGGCCAGTACCTCCCAAGTTTGAGCATAAACTACGTCGCCATAAACAAAGTTTTGAAAAAATTGCCACCACAGTTGTATTAGATAAAGATGAAAATTTGTTATGATCAGGGTTGCAACGGCATCGGAGTTGTCATAGCAACGAAATGACGCTATTACCTATTTTACTTACAGCAGTATATCTCGGCACTAGGAACTGTTCTTCCAAAATCGTTCACGGGAGCTTTTTCCTCCAACAGCGGCCTCGATGTTCGTGAAGTTTAAGCGAAATCGGTAAGAGCGTTATCGAGATATTTTGGGATGAAGTTTTTATGGTTAGAAACAAAGTAAAAAATGGACAATATTGTTGTTTGGCCTTTATCTGCAAAAAGTGAAGAGATTTTGACATGCAATTTCACTTCATAGTAGTTTCAATCTTTTTAAAAACGTGTGTGAAAGATCATTTAGATAGCTCCAACCGATTGCTAGAAAGAAGGGTTTGATTAGTATGTATCGAAGCGCTCTTGTTAGCGGTTTTGTAAACATTTTGGTCTTCTTTAACAAATTAGCGAATAATTTTTAAACCGCTCGATAGATTTTTAAAAAAATTTAAGAGTCTTGAGATTAACCTTCCTTTTATATGACCTTTTAGTTTCAAGATTATTGATACAATGTAAGGCAGTCAAATAAGGGCTACAATTCGCTAATATTTTGGCTGAAATTTTGTGTTTACAAGTGTGAGCCTCTCATTATTCAGGGTATTGTCTCCAAGTTTCATATTTTCGTGCACAACAATAGCTAGCAGTTTTGCATATGTCAAATGCATTGTGAGTTACTGCTGTTCACGTGAAAATGAAACTTGGAGACAATGCCTTGAATAATGAGAGGCTTTCACTTGTAATAACGAGACTTCCAATAAAAAAGTAGCGAATTGTAGCCGTTATTTTACTGCCTTACAATGTATCAATAATCTTGAGACTAAAAGGTCATATAAAAGGAAGGTTAATCTCAAGAATCTTAAATTTTTTAAAAAATCTATCGAGCGGTTTAAAAATTATTCGCTAATTTGATAAAGAAGACCAAAATGCTTACAAAACCGCTAACAAGAGTGCTTCGATACATACTAATCAAACCCTTCTTTTTAGCAATCGGTTGGAGCTATCTAAATGATCTTTCACACACGTTTTTAAAAAGATTGAAACTACTATGAGGTGAAATTGCATGTCAAAAGCTCTTCATTTTTTACAGATAAAGGCCAAACAACAATATTGTCCATTTTTTACTTTGTTTCTAACCATAAAAACTTCATCCCAAAATATCTCGATAACGCTCTTACAGATTTCGCTTAAACTTCACGAATATCGAGGCCGCTATTGGAGGAAAAAGCTCCCGTGAACGATTTTGGAAGAACAGTTCCTAGTGCGGAGATATACTGCTGCAAGTAAAATAGGTAATAGCGTCATTTCGTTGCTATGACAACTCCGATGCCGTTGCAACCCTGATCATAACAAATTTTCATCTTTATCTAATACAACTGTGGTGGCAATTTTTTCAAAACTTTGTTTATGACGACGTAGTTTATGCTCAAACTTGGGAGGTATTGACACTGGAAAACTGTATCGAGCCACCTTGATCCACGCGTAACCAATCGCGCCAGGTTTGATAAAAACTAGATGGATTTTAAGAAAAAGGGGCGGACTGCAAGCAGTCTAAACCGTACACGAATAGAATATTACTACAACTTTTGTTTTTGTTTTGTTTTGTTTTGTTTGCTTGTTTGTTTGTTTGTTTCACGTTGCATCTGTACTCCTTTGTATCGATCCAGTAATCATTATTTTAAACATTCCGTTAGGGAGACAAAAATTTCCGACGTTACGAGCCAAAAGCGGGCAGTGTTGTGATTGTTGTACATTGCCATGGTTACGATATGTAAGAGATATAAGAAAATAAATAAGTGGTATACGTTTTATGGTGCAGAGAGGTAAAAACAACGTTTTAAAGAACGTTCTAACTATGACATAAATTCAAGACCTCAATGCTTACAGTCTAAAATATTTTCATAAATATAAAGTTTGATAACCCTTTTCCCAAGAAGTGACATATTCCATAGCCCAAAAATATCCCAGTCATAGAATGGTATCGTCCTAAGGTTAATGTAGTACATGCATTAAAGATTTCATTGGAGGGTCATTAACTTATATGCAACTAATTAAGAGGCCTTGCCACGGCTGTCTGAATCCCTACCCTTTCATATACCTGAAGCCTGAAAACGATACCCCTTTCGGGTGGAGCCTCCCCTTATAGGCCATCATAGGGAGTATCCCCTGGGAGGAGGCAGTTCCCTCTCCTTGTATTTTGAGTAAATTCCGTGACACAGCTCCTTTAAGTTAGAGTATGCTTTATAACTAAGTTTTGTACCTTCTGCTTATCATGATCATCACTTTTCTGCTTTTCATTTTTCTCAGTGGACGTTTCTTACAGCCTCGCTGCTAGTCCTCTTTGGATGTGTATTTAGCTTCTTCCAAACCCAAACGTCTCTTCCCAAACAGTCGACATATGCTCCTGTAATCGTGATGGGAAGCGGCATGTCCATCATGTACGTCATGGCTTTAACATTTGCAACGGAACTTACTGGGAAAGATAAGGTAAGATGTTACTATAATGATAGCAATCACACACTTCTCGAGGATGATCACACTCTGCGAGCCAACTAGACAACGAGCAGTATCTCTGTTTTTCTCAGTCCGTCGAGCGAAACGCGCGAGACACGAAACTGATCACGCGCGTGACATAAGGCGCGAGACGGGAGAGGCGCGCGCGCGTGAACTCCCGTTACTAAATCTGAAGAAAAAGAGAGACTGCTCGTAGTCTACGAGCAAATATTCGAGCGTCTCAACCTGAATGGGGTTAACTGTCAGCCGTCAAACGACCTAAAATTCAACCGTCAACCGTCAAAAAAGGTTATTTTAACCGTCAACGGTCACAAATGCAGATTAATCTTAACTATCAAAAAGGTTTCAAGGTACAGTTATTTCAAATCTTACTATTTCAGCTCATCTTCACGTCAGACTTAATCATAACTAATTTATTAATTTATTCAGAAGGTAATATTCACTTGAACGCTTGGACTAAATTTCCACTTAACCGTGTCAACCGTCAAAAGTTACCACCCCATTAACACCCTTATAGGGAAAACAGATTACACACAGAAACCCACTTCCTTTGCTGCTGTTACCGCCAGTAAAGGGATGTTCAGAAATGGTACTTTGTACAACAAAATATACACTCGAACCTCTATGTGCGACGGCCTCCCATAAGCGACCACCTATTGACGTTGACTGAACCGGAAACTATCACAAGTGTATCTATTGAAAATTTGTACAGAAATCCAGCGGATCCGCCTTCTCCATCATTGTTTTCATTGGAAGGGTGTTAAGCGGAGGAATGTTTATGACAATCCAAGAGTTTTACCCTAAAAACGGGTAAGAATCAAACATGTGTTTTATATCTGTTAAGTATATATCTGTCTGAAATTGTTAAAACGTGGCCACTAGGTTTTCGCCTCTCCCGGCTTCAGGCCAGTGTGGTCTCCAAAAATGTAGGGGGCTTGGCGACTTGGTCAGCACAGGCAGATAAGCCCAACGACTGCCCTAACAGTGGGTGGGTGGCCCAAGCCTGGGGGGCAAAACTAGTGGGGTAGAGAGGGGGCTATTTTGACACAATCCCTTCAGTAAGGAGCAGTGTTTACTAAAGGCTTTGACTGGCAAGCACATTGTTCTTACTTTGCCTGAGCCAGCTGAATAAGGCCTCTGCTGACAATAATTATCATGATAATTGTAGAGCTCAGGGGGAGTTGTAGACAGTTACCCGGTGTCCTGAGTGAGGAGGGTGAAATTCTTGGTACCAAGGACATACTTAGCTGAGGAGCTGTGGACACTCACTGAAGCCATGTTTACATCAATTTAGTCAGATATATATGTATAGTGTTACTATTATTATTATCATTATTATTATTATTATTATTGTTATCATTATTACATTTAGCTTTGTTTAAAATCTATCTAGATGTATCATCCTCATTGCCACCACTATCACCACCATCATCATCATCATCATTATTATCATCATCATCATTTTCATTATACAGTGTGTATCATTATTTAATTTCCTTGTATTTTTTAGTTCCTCATCAGGTTTGAGCGAAAGTGAATATGTACGCTACGTGTTTTTTATGGTCCCAGGATTACTGACACTAATTGGTTCACTGATGGTTTTAGTTTCAAATCCATCAAACTCATGTTTTTGTTCTGCAAAAGGAGGTTGGTGTTATGTATGTACAGCAATCCTCTGTATCAAGTATACTTAGTAGTAGGTTAAGTTTGATCGTCCTGGTGAACGTAGTCCTGAATAGAACTGTTGTTGTTGACAGTGACTGATTTTCCAACAACCTGTGCAATAGCCATTTTCAGAGTCAAAGTGAGTTGTACCACGTCATTTGATGGTATTATACTCTGGTTATTGACCTGATTGGTCAATTATGTTGCAATCTTATTGGTCGTGTGTCAGTTAAGCCGTGATGCATTGTTTATGAAGACTCATCAAACTACTTTTGAAATGACTCCTGGGTTCAAACCTTTCATAGTTATACTTAGCAGCTTGTGAAAATAGCACTATCAACACTTTTAAGACTCTGCAAGTGAGGTGAAGTCTATGAGAGGTGTCTGTCGTGTAGGGTAAGGGGATGCAACAGGTACACTTCAACTCCACCCAACCCTCCCCCCCCCCCTCCACCCCACAGGCTCCGGAGGTCCGCTTTTATGTTGACCAATGATTTCAAACAAACTGAATGAATGAAAAAAAATATTACAACATATTTCATTCTCAACTTCACTGATTGTGTAAACTACTGCAGTTCAATATTATTTAACTGCCATGACTACCAAAAAAATACACCAGATATAATACTATTCCCACCATAAATTTACATTACAAAAACCTTAGTCGTGGCTAATGTGTAATTTGTTCTATTTTGTTTGTTTTCCTTTCTCTCTTTAGAATTTTCACTAAGTGAACAAACCATCACTGCAACAGAAGCAGACACTGTTCTTTGTCAGAAGCAGTTTCCATTGCAGAAATAAAACCAAAAGACCAGAGACAGCCATGAACTACAACACACTTTTTCTATTAGCTTTAAATGAAAGTGCATGGCATCAGACCATGTTTATTGTTACAAAAGGAATCCACCAGAATCAGGGAAGTTTTTTGCTTGTAAAAAATTCAGATATTTCTTGCTTGAGGAATGCAGAATTCTAGGCTTTGGAATCAGCATATGGCTCAAAGAATCCGAAATCATACTAACTATTGTAGTCTGGAATCGGACTTCCACTAAAACCAGTACCAGGAATCTGGAGTCCATGGCTTCAATTCACAATCCAAGACTGTCTTGGATTCCCTTATATGGGCTGAATGATGACTTTTATAAACACATCAGATATTCTAAGTAAAGGAGCATTTTTAAACCCTTGCTAAAAAATTGAAATACATAATATTGTTTCTTTTGAGGTGAACAGGATAGGGGGAGAGGGTGGGAGGGGGGTGAATACGTGCTTATTTATTCAGGAATGTTAGTGCGTGCATCAGACATAAGTTTACTATGCATAAGCAATGTCATGTAGTTTAGCTATTATATAAAAATAATTACACCGTTGATAAACGTTTAAATAACAGACGCGCGTGCTGGTGTGTAACATTCGCAGGCTGCACACTGCAGTCTGCATTTGTCACACACGGTGCGCGTGCGCATTGCGTCGTTAATGACGAGAGAATGGTGTAACAAAATGTATGGGCCTTCAATAAAAATTCAAAATACAACAAACACAAGTTAGAGTAATATTTTCCCGTCACTACGACTTGAGACACGTCCGGTAGTGATAAAGCTGTACCTCTTATATAACAACAAATAAAAAAGCCATTGGTATACTTACATGAACTTCCCGCGATGTTCGATGTTTGAGGCTCCAAAGTTATCACCATGACTTCTAGTTTGGCTCAAGATACGCCGTAATCCATGCAAAATGATTGTCCATTTAAGGAACAATCATTCGAGTGGTCAATTGTAGCTCACACTCGCATTGAATCTCATCTCATCTCAGGCAAGTTCGATGCATACCAAATCGGCCATGAAAAGGACCATTTCTTGTACCTCGATGAGCGCTTGAAAATTCATATTTTGCCTCGTCGAGTCTCTGATCTGAGACCATCTTTTAGAACGCACTACAAGAGGAAACAGTGAAGTAAAACCTCTTCCCGCAAAACCTCCAAACTGCCGCGCGGCCATATTTGTTTTTCTTATCCACCAATGATTGTCGGTATATAAACTAGCTCCAGGTCCCCTCGTTCTAGAGAAGAAGCCTTGAATACTTGAATATACCGTAAAATTCCGAAAATAAGCCCCAGGGCTTTCATTTTTGAGGGTTTTATTTTTGGGGGGGCTTATATTCGGAGGGGCTTATCTATGGAGGGAACTTTGCGTTTCAAAATCGATTGGCCTAGCCTTATAGTTGCAAGGAAATTTACCGTTTTTGCTTCTTTGTATTTGAGGGCAGTTTCCAAGTACAAGAAAAACTTACAAGCCGCCGTGGGGCTTACATTTGGAGGGGCGATTCAACGGAGGGTTTTCTGCGTTACGAGTTTGGGGGGCTTATATTTGGAGGACCTTATACATGGAGGGGCTTATTTTCGGAATTTTACGGTATTTATTTTCTCGCGCAAAAATTGTACAATTAAACCACAATAATCATCAAATGTTGAAACACGAGACTGAAACTGAGGGCTTACCTTTTCCCCGAGTCTACTTCTTCTCTCCTTCCCCAATGTTGAGATTCGCGTATGTTTAAAACTGGGTGCATGAATCAACATTGGGGAGGGCGTAACGGGTTGTAACGTGACAAGTGTGAACAAACGTGAAGAGTATTGCAGATCATCCAGGCAGCAATGAGCAGTTTCTTTTTCAAGTGCAAGAAAGAGCTCTTTTATTCAATGGATAATATGCGTACATCAAGTACATCATTCGTGTATGTAGTTAATGCAAGTAGGATGCATGGATTACGAAAGATTTTTACAATGCGAGTAGGTCTCTGATTTTCTACATTCGCCAAAATGTCTAAGAAATCAGGCTACTAGCCACTTGGCGTTAAAGCCGCCAAGATTTTTGAAGTAAAGTCCTTTTTCCCTCTTCACTACATAAAGAAGGTCGGCAGTTCTTAGGCTCTTCGAGACTTTGTAGGGAACTTGTCTCCTCCATTTCCTTGAAGTTATATAGCATCTCTGAGGTCTAGCATGTTGGGGAGTGGTTGGTAGTGGAGTCTAATTGTAAGAGTTAGTTTAACACAGCATTGTAACTGAACGATAGCTATAGAAATGACCATTTAAGCCATTTTTTTGGTCGTCCACGACTATTCAATAAATAGAGGTAAGTCCCTAAAAAAAAAGGTTTCATTTGTGGAATCGAGAATCCGGAAAATTATTTTTTCTTGAATCCGGAATCCTGGGCTTTGGAATCCGAGACAGAGCTCACGGAATTCGGATTCCACTACGTATTTTTTGAATCCGAAATCCTAGTTGTTCCGGATTGCCGGGCAATCCGAAATCCACAGCGTGTAATCCAGAATCCAAGACTGTCGTGGATTCTCTTCCAAGGTGAGATAAAAACAGGTTTCCCTGAATAATACAATGGCGAAAATTCTAGTAACCAAAATGGAGGCCTGATTATAAACTTCAGTCACTCAGATGCAGAAGTGGACCTTTAATGTGATTTTGATTGACTATAATACATACATTAACAAAGGTAAGATATTTCAAGCAAGCAATATGAAAAGCACGTAGTTTTGCTAAAAATCAGTCTGTTGTTGCAAATAACTAAGATGAGATATAATATTATTTTAATGATTATTATGCCCTGACGAAGCCACCAATACAAATGCTTCTACTATAACGTTTAATGATCTAAAAGGCAAATGTAAGAATTTGTTTGGTAATATATTTCATAGTCGTCAAGCTTGTCCAGCAAATCTTATTACATACGGTTTAGTACCAGAACAAATTGAGCCGAAAAATACAACTGAGTTTTTTTAAACGTTGACAGGTCTCTCCAATTAAAGCGCAATTCAACATTTTCGGTCGAAATACTGGATCACAGATCCCTTTGAGGCACTGTTGATTCCGATCCAGCGGCTTGTGACCTCAGATCCCGGGCCTGTGATCCCTTATCCCACCCCTTTTTTGGCCTTTGATCCCTGATCCCATATACCTTGTTTTGCGACACTGTCATGATCACTGAGTCTTCAGTCCGTGCTACAGTATCGAAGATGGCAAGGATGTTCTGGAGGTGTCCCCATGAAGTTATAAATATAGAAATCGCCGCAGTTTCGTACTTGAATGTTGATAGACCAAGAGCAGCAATCATAGTAGGAAAAACAGACCTGCCTGGTGACCAAGCCTTCAGCTACAGTGGGGTGACTGCCGTTTAACCAACCAGTTGCATGCGTGTTGCATCTGTTGTTAGGCACGCATGAAGTAGGCATTTTGGTCCCTGTGGCTGCTTCAAATCGGTGCCATCCAAATAGATTATTATCGCAAATGGCTGTGGTGGAGACGTATGTGTTCTTTCTTCCATTTTGAGTAGTTATAGCTTGGTAATTGAGACACTCTAGGGGAAAAAACGGCAGTACACTCTTCACTGACTCTTACTGTATTCGCGAATCATTCTCGAAGATATCTTATCAAGTCCTTTTGCTTTTGCTTTGCTAAGTTTAGTCAAAAGTAAGACACTTGATTACTATTCGTCAAGGCTAAAATTAAACATTGTCAGTTATGTTGAGATATTCAAGACAACTCTTGTGCCCATAAAAATAGGAGAAGTAATTTCACTCGCAAGTTTGGGAAGAATTGTGGAAAAATGTTCAGTGAATGCATCTGGTATATCTGATGGAGTGGGTAATGGATCAGTTCTTCCACAGACGAGGTGTTTTACGAGGTAAGTTCATTGATTGTCTGCCAGGTTAGTCAAGAGTCATTTTTGTGTTCATTAAATGACTTTTTGTAATAAAATTCTTTTGCGATCTTGATCGCTGTTCAGGCTGTTACGAACTCTTATATTTAGCCCAATCGAGTGGGTTCTTGGACCGAATTGCTTTTAGCTTATTAATAATATAACTATCTCTCGTTCGCATTCGGTTTTTCAACTCTGACTTACAATGTAATCTATGTTGATTTTTTTTGCGTGAACCCGCTTTGTTGAACAATTTTCAAGAGCCTATTTTTCCACATATCGTTTTGGAAATATTATGACGAAAGCGATCGTGATTAAAATTTTTGAAGTTTCTATAAGTTACAGAGTTGCACCCTCTAGAAAAGGTACCCATCGTCAACTCGCGATAGACAAAAACTAGACTGTGATCACCAGTAGTAATGATGCTGACATCGGATACACCAGAGCAAACTACCTTATCGGGAGAGTTAGGGTATTTAGTTGCCTGTGAACTGAGATGTCAGATGTCAGAGCTTTAATGGGAATCCAAGAGAGAACTACAGCACGTACCGTTAGAGTTCAGAAATTGTAGTATGATCAGCTGTATACATCATCATTTTTGTTGCTCGTTTGTGTTTAGGCAGTCGTGCTTTCGACTGCCAAGTCACTTACAATAATGATCGATATCGGCAGAAACCTAACAGCACGCGACAGTCCCTCTTAAAGAGCAGTGCTTTATACTGTCCGTTTACATTTACGATACGTCATTCTGTGATGCTCATCAAAGGCTGTTTTGAAAAGTGTTAACTCTCCCCTAACTCAGTAACAAACGTTAGTAACAACCGTCAACTTGTTTTTATTTATTTATTTGTTCTTGTAACGGAGAAAGAGTAAACTTTCTTATACACCTAAGAGTGAGAAATAATATAAATACTGCTCGGCAACGATCAAGTTTTTTCTACTGAGCGACAATAGTCTCTGCTTACCTGGCGCAATGCAGGTCTCTCCATCCCCATCGTAACCGTATTTGCACGCACATTTGTATGATCCAATAGTGTTTGTGCAGGTAGCTCTATCTCTGTCACAGGTATGATTTCCACCGCTGCACTCGTCTATATCTGTGTGAACACAAATTAACTTAAAAGATATAGATTTAACCGATTTCAAAAGAAAACTTTCGTGGTGTCTTTTAAGAAATGTCTTTCTGCAATAGTTCAACTTTTGCCATGAGGAAGAAGCAAACTGAATTCCTCCTGAAAAATAGACACTGATTAAAAACCAGTAATTGGTCAGCGGAGAACTTTAAAAGAAAACACTTAACCTCAATGAGGTGTGCACCTGTGTCCGTGATACAGTCATGTGATACTGGTTAGCTGATACCTTTTCTGACGGCTAGTGTCAATTGACCATAACATGGATGTCAATATGAAATTTAACACAGATTCTACACACATTGGACTCTAAGCTAGTTGATGTGACATTGTATTGACCGGGGACGGTCATCCAGACCCTGAGAGATAGGGAGGGGTGGTCTCAAAAATAAAATTTTTCGCCCCTGAGCCCCTCCCCTGGATCCGCCACTACGTTCAATATGGTATCTTTGTTCATACGGAACTTTGAACGGTTAGGCATCTGAATTTCCGTATTGTTACGCTGGTTTCGTGTGAACGCAGCAACTAAATACACGAATTGCAGTGTGAACATAGCTACATTATCGTCATTTATATGATATTGGAACTCCAAAATCTGATCAGTTTCTTACCTGCACAGTTTTTACCATCTCCAGTGAAACCAGGAAGGCAAGAACAACGGTAAGAACCAATTGTGTTTGTACAGTTGGCGTTTAAGTCGCACAGCCGGTCAGTGGAACTGCACTCGTTAATGTCTGACAACAATGATGAAAATGAATCAAGACAACGTTCAATAACAAAATTTTATAACGCTCAATTTTATTAGGCCAGAATTGCTTGGGGCTCGTGGTTCGACTTGAGCACTTGAGCTTTAATGCATTTTGAAGTCAAAATTTTTTGTCCGTTCGTTAAGTGTTTGAATAATGGGAAGCTGACCACCTACGAACTGCATTTTTCAAAAAGAAAAAGAAAGAATATTCATAATGCGTTATATTCGGTATACATACTTTTCGGTATTCATACTTTTCACGACTTCTATTTTCAATTACGCAGACGCTAGTTTGAGAAGGGAATGAACAAAGATTTCGTATTTTTCATACGTGAACTTTAGCAGACAGTCAAGTCAACTTTTAGTGCACGAGGTTGTTGTTATTGTTGCGTTGAGATCACGTCACTTTGTATGTGTCTTTTAAAACAATCATCCTTTACAATCTCGTTGACTAGTGGATAACGACTTATGGGATTTTAAATAGTCATTTTCATAGAATTATTATTGTAAGATATTCAATGACTTGCATGGGTTAGCCTTTCCCGGCTCAATTCTCGACAATTTTTCCAAGACGCCTTGTTGTTAATAAAGCAATTGGAAAAGGGCAGTTTATTTTGTTTCCTCACACCCTTCTGATTGGTCAATGGTGGGAATCTATGGTTAGACTGTTTACATGCAGTCCCCTATTTTCTCGTAAGATCGTCGAAGTCAGTGTTAACTGTTATGGCGGCCATCTTGGTTGCAAATCATGAACTAAGGGCAGACGATCTTACAAAAAATTAGAGGACTGCTAACAGTCTACTTAATGTTTAATAGACAGTCAATCTTGAAACTCTTTACCTCTTTTCCTAACCATTCCGTAGTAATATCTGTTTACGTCGAAGATGAAATGCTCCGGTCGAGCCTCTTTGGTACGGTTGTTTAGCTCACAGATGTCTTGGGTAATGATGTAATTGAAGCTCTGACATCTGACATCTTCTTCACAGGCAATTAAACACCCTAAAGAGGTGGGTGCGTGGAACGTCTTGAAAACGTATTGACGTAGCATCATGCTTTTAATGGAATTTTCAGTCTGGGTGCAACAGCTCGTTGCTGAATAACGCACGTTTGACAAGACGAGCAAAACCACTGCGAGCTTTGCCTTTTTAAAAAGCACTGTCAACATCTTTTTCTGCAAAAAATTAAGCAAGGAATATCGATTAGCAGGGCCTTCAAAGGTGTGCAATTTGTGTGTGTAAAGGTTTGGTTCACAGTGTTTGCGTTTATTAGTGCTAAATGAGATGGTTTCGATGCATGTCGACTGAGTGCAGTCTCTCTTGCTAGAAAATCTAGGATATGGGGCGATGGTGTGCCCGCGCAACTATCAGCAGTTCGTTATCCACGAGACAGTTACCCAATTTACACCCTATGGCCAGGATGTATTCACCATCGTTTTGCTTTTAAAAATGTCATTCAGTCTGAGACAGTTCAAAACCTACTTCACCTTATAAAGAACCCTGGCTTCAGTCTCTGCCGCTCATGACGTCATATCTCGTAGCCACAACAAAAGTGTATAATCAAATTTTGTCAAAATAAGGAGGAAAACAGCGAGGCTAATATTTGAAGGCGACAGTAGTGTCTCCTTCCGCTTATTATATGGTATCTTGAGTGCACTTCGTAGCAAATGTGATTACTTATAATAAGTAAGTGGATAAACCAGAAACTCACTGTTATCTAAAATATAAGTTTTTGCTTTTTCTTCACCATTTGTAGCCATTGTTTTTCTACTACTGTTAGCAACGTCTTTATTGATCAAAACACTTTAAAACAGTCAATATAAACTTAATTATTAAAAATCATATTTTAAAAAACAAACAAACATCAACAAAAAATTCCCTGACAATTCAGAATTTTCAGTTTTTGTTTATGCAAACCTGAAAAAATCAGTTTGTTCACTAGAATGATAAATTAGGGATTGCTTAGGTATGGATAGGCTCTGAATTATTTAAAATGACAAAAAAGCAGTAAAGGTCTGAAATTTAATCTGTTTGCATGATACCGACGATTCATCTGAGATGTTTCTTACTCACGTTTTTAAGGATAAGTTTTGTTCTAAATTACACAATCAAGTAAATGTTTTCTCTACACTGAGAAAAAAATCAGTATGGCACCGAAGTGGGAAATAAAACTTGATCACGATTCAACGTCTTGCTTCTTCAAAGGTGACTTGTCATGTAATATACATGAAAAGAGGTCGGTATTGCACATACGTAATTTAAATAAATAGTATTTTTCTTTTGTCTTTTTGGCCAGCACTTGGTAATCAACTTGGCTTTGAGCAAGTGCTCCCTTAAGCTAAAAGAAGCGATCACTGTAGTATAGTTCCGATCCACTTACCTGATTTCAACACTTTCAAAACTATATTGTCGCATTCGTTCCACACAGTTTAATCTACTTAGCGTGATGCATCCTGTTATGTTTTGAGAAAGCTTATAATCATTGACGTTTACCTTGAACAATAACAGATACATAATTAATGAGTTCGCTTTCTTGTATGCAAAATGGATCGGTTTAACCAGCTGAAATATTAATGTTAAAGCGTTTTTCATCTGCTATCTAGAAGTATTATACGTAGTATTCCCTGTCCTATATTGGCCCTCTTGCAATCAATAATTCAATAAGCTAAAAACAATGTAAGTAAAAGTGGGAGAAAGATTGGAAACTTAATGACTTGTAGTTTTGACATTCAGCTAGGTAACAATATAATGCAAGAACCTTTATTTTACACAAAGCCTGGGACTCAAAGAGACAGACTTGTACGTGATACCTAGTGATTTTTTTTCTTGAATACAACTTTTTATTCAAGGGATACCACTCAAGGAAATGGACCAAGGGGGGCCTCCTTGATTAAGGCTATATTCACGATACACCGGATAGCCTCTGCGCAGGCTCGAAAGCCTTACCACTAACTGTTCACACATAAGAACTGTGATTTCAGCGCGATTTCTGTAACGGGACGAAGCTGCCCGCGCCGATCTCTAAAGTGGAGAGTTACATATCGGATAGGTGTTCAAACTATTATCGGACAACTTTTCGTGACGGTACGGAAAGCTATCCGGTACTGAGTGTCAACATAGGCAAAGCCCCACTTCTTTGATTCTTTCTATTTGACTCTTTATCATTTAAGTATTTAATTATTTATTTAATTTGTTTTCTCTCTTTGTTATTTTGTTTTAAAATTTTGACACGATTTCTTTGATCTTTAAGAGTATATAAACTATGGTTGCATTGATATCCATAAGTTCATCAACAACAAGGTAATTACATGGGAGGAAAATGCATGACTTTAAATTGATTTCCATCGCACGAGCACAAATATGACCCAATAGCATTTGTTCAGGTTACACTCTCATCACTGTCGCAGTTATGGCTTCCAATTGTACACTCTTCTGTCTGAGTGATATGACAGTAGTAAGTTCAGTATAACAAGCCATGTATCTACAATATCGGTAGCTAAGCCAACTGGTAAACAGTGTAAAAGGGACCTTTTGTCTGCGTTAAGGTTTTCCTGCTCAAAAGTTAATGGGATTCCCCCGCATGATTACTCAACGGTTTTGGATAAAAGGCTATGACGTCATTGGCCTTTATGCATTCCTCCTCGAATTAGTATAAGATTCGCTCCCCCCCACCCCCCTCAGAAAAGAAAATTCGGTCCCTACTATACTACTAGTAAGAGCCCACCTCGAGTCCTGATGTTTCCATCGATTTCGTCTCGGGAAACATCAGGGCTCTAGGGAAAACAAAACTAGCTGTTTCCCTCGGGATCTGACATTAAGTGTACATTGTAGTCGTGCAAACCACGGCAAAGAAAGACAAACGTACAAATTTGTTTGTTTGTTTGTTTTCATTGCCGTCTCCGTTTAGCATTACACGATTTAATCTTTTTTGTTTATAAAAGACCCCCATCGGAAAATCATCATGTCAAATGTGATTTAAAACGTTAAAATGACATCCGAAACAGAAGCACCTCATACCTACAATACTATTTTTCTCCAACTTAATCAGTCATAAAAACCGGTCTGCAAATTTAAGAGCTTTTTATATCTCTTTCCAGATGTTAATGAGTGTAAGAAATCGTCATTAACTGCGATGCCAATGCTTCCTGTAAGGACACTGGGGGGTCTTTTAAATTATCCTTTATCGAAGCTAGCACGGAATTGACGTTTTAAATATTTTTTATGTTGCAGTCGGTTCACTGCTTAATAATTACCAGTGCATAATGTTCCATTTCCAGTGTAATCCGGGCTGCATGTGCAGTTATAATTAAGATCCCTCAGTGTTATTGCCGAAAGCATTGGCATCACAGTTATGGGCGTTGGTGATACACTCGTTTATATCTGAAAGGAAAGCCAAAAAAAAAAAAAGAACAAGAAAAAAGCTCCTTTTCTAAAGGCAGCAAGTGAACGTAAAGACAAATTAACATATGACCATGTTGTACTTTTTCGCTTGTGTTTGCTCATGCAGGACTTTAATTGGCTACGTATAACCGCTACTTAAAAGATTTGTTGACTAAGAAAAACTGTCATTTTTTCAGCTTTACCTACCAGACTGAGGGAAATGCGTTTTGGAGCCATGCAGTAAGCGCCGGTTTCAGGCAGTTTGGATCTTTTCAAAAAGTTACTAACGTGCGCTTACCTTGCACCGCGGCTTCAGGTTTTGATACTTTTGCAGCATGGTCCTTTCGAGAGATTATCAATGAGAACATAACGGCAGCTATAACCAAAACGATAGCTAACAGGCATATGACCATACTCAAAGAAATGAGCATTCGTCGCTGATCATTACTACATCTTGTTCCATTGCGCCTTTCAAGTTCTCTGACAGCAATTTGGTAGTAAAAGAATGTTGCTTTAAGAAGCGGGGTAATCATGTGTGACCGTACAAGGTGCATGCTTTCAGCATAACTCAGATCCGTGCGATTTTGCTATTTATTTTACCTGTCTTTCGCACTTAAAAAAGGGGTCTTTAATCGCCATACACAAGGGCAAGACCAGATGGCCTTGGAAATATTCTCTCAAGGGGTTGGAATTAGAAAAATGCCATTTTAACTTCTGAGGTTTTTATCAGTTCAAGTTGGAAATGAAATTTGCATTGTAACTTGATTGCACCCGGGGGATTACATTGTTTCAGTGGAATCCTTCTCTTTGAACCTATTACTACTTATTTCATCGTTGGAGCACTGCAAAAATTTAATTCCTAGTCTGCATATATTTAACAATTAATGAATGAGGCTGAGTATCTTATGAAGAATTATGGAGATCGAGGAGGGTGTTATCGGCCGAGGCGGATAACACCCTCTGAGATCTCCATAATTCTTAATATGATACGAAAGACGAATTCAATAATTGTTTTATTACTCATTCAAAATAATTCCTAGTTTAAAAACATGGCTAAAACATGCTTACCTCCATGGATCCATCGATGTTAAGTTCATCTTCGATAGTGCACATTTAGGCTTGTCCAGCTCCGCAGATATTCTCCAAATAGCAGATGTCGCCCTTCGAGTTGTATTCTTGCTGTTCTTGCCATGTTTTTAGCTATTGTTTCGCCTAGTTCTTACTCTTGAAACGAGTGAAATGTCCGCCATTTTTCAAGTTCACAACCAAAACAACTCAACCTCGTCCCCAGGTCTTCTCGGTTAAAGGTGCTTTAACGTTCGAAAACGCTGTATGTTTGACGTCATTCCCTCGATAAACACAAAATTCTTCCAAATTTGGTCATCAGTAACTGGTTATGGTGAATTAAACGTATGCCTTTAGCCAATCAGAATCGGGGAAATATTTTGAATGAATAATAAATTCCATTAATTTTATTGGACCGCTTATGTAACGTACCGGTCTGATGAATCAACAGGCTAGCTAAAGACCTTTCTTTACAGTTTCATTTACCATCTAGCTTTGTCATTACAATCATAATTTGACAAAAGAAGATATAGGCATCAGTGAAAAAACGATAATTTATTTAAGGATTTAAGAGTTTCAATGGGGTGAAGACATTTCTAGTCAGTGAATAACATATGTGTTAAATTATTTTAGTTGTTGATTACATTGTTAAATCAGTTTTGGATCATTATACACCTTTGTATGCCGCTCCTTGTGAATTTCACATCACTTGACGCCGACCAGTTTAATAGTGGCTGCTTTTTACGTTTTCTTATAGTTATACCTGCGTTAAAATTATTTGTACTTGTACTTTTACATCGGTTTTTTAAAATGATCTGACTCCGTTTACTTTGTTAATTTTTTGCTCAGTATATACATATATCTTGTTAGCGCTTATGGTGTGTCTTAAATCTAGCTATTCTTAGTGCTCCGTATGTGTTTTTCGCATTGTATCCCTTATATTTTCGACGTGCTTTCGCTGTACCTCTTACTGATATAATAACTCGATTGCTGGCGGCTCCCTCCATTTATCATTGTGTTGTTTTGTCTCTTTATACTAATAATAGAAATATTCTCTATTCGGCTGAGCGTAGCGAAAGAGAATAGAATTTTCCTTCTCTACGGCTAATGGTAATTTTCTATGCGTTACTTCTAAGATTTTTTTTTCTATGCTTCTAACGATAAATAAATTGTTATGCCTTACGCCTAACGTCTAAACCTTTTGGCTCTTTAACTAGCTGCTAACAGTCACTATGAAACAAAAAACCGTCAGCAGATATGTTCCTGCAATGTTGTTGTATGTTTCAGGCATGGAAAAGCCGCAATGAGGCCCAATGGTTCTGTGACTAGCTGCGTGTCCTGATCTAACCTTTCGAGATCGGGCTAAAATTTTCCGAGACCCACGGTTTTTGAGGTACCATTCTATATCCGTATTCCTGAAATAATTTAGGTGTTTACGGGTTTGTAAACTTAGCAGTTAGCACCATTAAGACCGTCTTACAACGACAACTTTGAGGCCACAACTCAACATCATTTTCTTGATCTTGATCTCCACGCGTACGTCTTTACCGTGTTTACGCCCATATGTCAACACCTAGCTTATGAGGATTTACCCTTTAGGGAACCAGAGAGCTTCCTCGTAGATTAGGCCCGCGGATGTCCCCAATAACAGGCGGACTTTGAGTTATTTCTTTAACCCAAACTGTGTGTGTCAATGCTGACATGTGGGCGTAAAGACTTGGCCAATGCATATAGGATGACACGAGTATGGTGATTTTAACATTGCTGATCAACCATTTGGCATGTATGAACCTATTGTAGAGAGAAGCCCATAAGAGCAAAGAGGGCTTTGTTCAGTACACATTTAAAGAGAACTTCTCGTTGCTTAAGTAGCAAAGATTCAGAGGATTCCCAAGGGAAGGCAGTTGGTTTAATAACGAGAACTTATGAAAGAATACTTCATTTCCTCATCCTGACTGATGAGAAAAATTTTGCACGGTGAAAGAGTCACTCCATGTGTTCCTTTTTAAAAGGGCAACTCTCAGATCCTCCTGCAACTTGTTCATTGTAACTAGCCGTAATGTACTGACTTCTTTTGGGAATCTATACTAGTCAGTGCAGCGCTTTCGATAGTGACTTCTCGTGGGGATCTAGTGTCAGTGCCGCAGTATCGAAAATGTCTTCTTCTGGGAATCTAGTCAGTGCCACAGTATCGCAGAGAGCATCCTACTGGTGTTCCATTCAGCAAGTAAACGAAGTACTCCCCACAGTTCCGCACTTGAATGTTGGTGGACCAATAACAGCAGTTTGAGTTCCAGTGAAAGCAGACCTGCCTGGTGACTTGTCCGTCTGCCACAGTGGGGTGATTTCCATTTAACCAACCAGTGGCACGCGTGTTGCATCTATTTATGGGAACACACGCTGTTGGCATTTTCCTCCCCGCTCCTTCAGTAAAACGGTACCAACCGGATTTTGAACTGTCACATTCCACAGAGGTAGTGACCCATGTCGCTTTCCTGTTGGATGAGGTTAATGTCTGGTAGGTTTGACATTCTAGGTTATAATCAAAGAGGCATAATATATTCAGTCACGTGGTAGAAATATTGAAAAAAATAAATACTTAGTCTATCAATTCAAATTCAACTGCATGGACTTTCAAAAAATTTCACATGGCGATCTTCCTGTTCGCCATCTCGAAAGTTCTGTCAGGTCAGGAAACAGGGCGGACCTCAGGACTGATGAGAAGGTTAAGCCATATATTGAGTAAATTAAACACTGCAGTTTTTCTTAACCAAGTTTTCGCACTAATAATCAGCAAAATGTTTAGATTTTCACTTTTTCCACCAATTAGCGAGGATAAATGTTTAGTTTCTAAACTAGTTTCCTTATCTGAATTGTCAATAACATCTATATTGGTGCTAGTATAGAGGGCATTTTGAATTAAGGCAGTGGGGACCAAGTAATATAAGATAAAGATATCTGTGTTTGCACACACATGATTCTCATAGGCAGCTTGTTTATTCAGTCTCGAGGATTTTGCTGTTTTAGGTCAATTCTGTGCTAAAGCTCATTACATAGTACCTTAAACCTTACGGACACAAAATGCTCCTGATGCTTCTGTGGAGTTATCAGGGACTAAAGATCCAACAACGCGGACGGCAACAAGAACGTCAAAACAACAAAAGGTTTAATAAGCAAAACAACAAATTTGCACGTGCATCACGCTTTTTTGTACATTTCTTTCCTGTTTTTGCACGACTTGGACGTGAAAATGCCTAATTTTGCCGTTTAAGGAGGACGTAAACAAGCAACGACGAAATTTTATTTCTCTCTCTGAGCTTGAATATGGTCACTTGAAATTCAGCTTCAGGAGGGTTCGCCTACATTTGACAAAGTAAGTGGGTAGGAATAATCGCTGTAAAGACTAAAAGAACGCAAATTGACTTTTTAAGCGCCGTTCTCGTTGCCGTCGCGTCGTTGGATCTTAAAGTCCCTATTTAGGGCCTGTTTACATGGAGGTGGTGGACCCCAGGTAGGTGAGGTAACCCGCTAAGATGGGGTAGCGCGCCTGCCCATAATATCTCTCATTTTAATATGATCACGTTTACATGTTAGGTCACCCGCCATATGTTACCTCACCTACCTGGGGTCCCCCACCTTCATGTAAACAGGTCCTTAGTGAAGAAGATGTCAAAAAAAATTCATCAGGGAAAACTGACTATAATAATTTTATGGTGATTTGAGCAAGCATAGCATTCAATTTTTCATCCAGGTCCATCATTGCAATCCGTAAAAACAGACGACTGGGAACAGTTCTAGTGCCTAAATATGGTCTAAAATAACAAACCAGGACCATTATTTTTGGAATTCAATTGATGCGAAGACACGTTTTAGCTTTGTCAAAAAGTTAGCAAATAACGTGACAGAGCCTCTTAAATTCTGCATGTCTCGGCCCTGTTTACCTGTGTGGGGAAGACTGCAAGTCGTTCCATCTCCTTCATAACCGTCTCTGCATGAACACAAATATGAACCAATAGTATTTGTACAGGTTGCTCTCTCATCACTGTCGCAATCATGACTTCCACTTGAACACTCATCTATGTCTGCGTGATATTATTAAATTGAACAGTAATAAGCTATTTCTATCTACTGATTAAGTGGCGTATTTAGACCCTAAATAAACCCAAATCTACGTGTAACCAGGTGCAACGGAGAATTTTTTACCGTATAATTCTTTTATTGCTGGTCTGCACGTGACGTCAAGGCTGCCATGTAAGTGGTCGACAACAAAAGCATTTCTCTCGTCTGGGAACTAATCACCCTTCTCATGAAAATTCCTCGAGAAAAATTCCTTGTCACGTGGTTGCAAACAAAAAATTTAGTGGACCTCCCGTTGCATCATGCGTGTACTAAGACCAGCTCTGCGCCGATGTCTATGAAAATCTAGGTATGAAATGCCCTTGTCAAATTAAACCTTCGAAAAAGTCTAAAGAAACAAGAAAAGATCGTTCAGTTGTGAGACACTTAAGGTGTATCATTTAAATAAAAAAATCATGAATTAATCGTTTCGAAACGCTAAAATAAAATAAATAGTTTGAAAATTCTTGGTTCGCAGTCACGTGACAAGGTGGCCATCTTGGAGGTCAATACAATGTATTTTTTCTCCATGAATTTACATGAAAATGGAATTTAGTTCCCTGGGGAGAGAAAAGTTTTAGTTTCTGACCGCCAAATTGGCAGCGGTGACGTCACCTGCAAACCAGTAATTATTACTAACAAATGAAATGTATTTCTTTCAAGTAGCGTTCGTTTTCCTTACCAATGCAAGTGTTACCATCACCAGAAAAACCACTGAAACAGGAGCAGTAGTACGAGCCATGGGTATTGATGCAGTTGGCATTGAAATCACATAACTGCTCAGAAGCTGTACACTCGTCTACATCTGGAATAAACAGACAACTCCACCTGTATATATATATACTTTTAATTTAGGGAAAGCAAGAGACTATGAGGTACCTCATAGTCTCTTGGGGAAAGATATTTAAAACGAGGCAAATTCCCTTAAGAACTGGTCTGAATAGAAAGAAGAAGTCGTTATGTCATGTTGCCATGGTAGCAAACTTTCTTGATCTCAACAAACCTTGGTCATGCAAATACGGCAGAGAAAAAGAGCGAAAAATTAACTTGTACGACCTGTTTGTGCATGTCTGCACTCAAGAACAAAACGGTTGCCATTAAATTAATTTTCTTCTATCGTTCGACGATACAAATGGTCGTCTCTGTCAAGAAAGAAAGCTAAAATAGAGATCCAGAAATTTTGCTACCATAGTAACGTGACGTCACACTTCCCCATAAATACACAAGCTGAAAAGGTCAATTGAAGGAAAGTTAGAGTTAAAGGAAACAAAATAATACGGGTCTACACGTGGTAAATGAATCACGGGAAGTGAAGGAACTTTTCTCGAATAATAAGTTAAGATCGTTATTAGCTTCATAATTATACCTTAAGCTTTTTTGTGCATGAAATAAAAGCATGACACAAGAAATTGCGATAATAGCCGATTCGTCAACCAAAGTAAAGTTTCACGATTCAAGGTTTACTTAAAAATATGGCGGCCTACCTTCTGTGCTCATATTGCAGTAAACAAGTATATGTTTGGTCGGGATTATTGAATCAAGCCAGTAATTACCACTGACAGCATGCTCGCCTTCACTCGCCTTAACTTCTGTGCATGATTTTGCTGGCAACTCAGGGATGGAGCCAAGAGAAACTGGAAAACAGCAAACGGCCAGGTAAATTTAGCACATATGATACCATAAAGTGTGCGCAGACAGCAGCTAAATGCGCACGTTGCTGCTATGGTCCGATTTATAAATATCAATGCTTGGAAGATATAGGATTATTTTGTTGGCGTCACCTATTACCATATCTAAGTAATTGATGGTCCTATACACTGCTGGGGGTTAATGCGCACCTTGCCTATAAGCAGGAATAAAATCATAGCACTTTTCCATCCTTTACCTCCACAATTTTTGATTACAGTTTGAAATTAAGAAGAACATGTTATTGTCGTGGAGGGCTGACATGATGAGAAAAGCACTGGTAAATTTTACAATACTTTAACTAGTGTAATTTACAAGTCTAGCTATTGTTTCTAGACTCTAAAACAATTGCTAGACTTGTAAATTAAACCTGTGAAAGTTTTATCAAATCCACAATTTAATCCTCAGTTTGCGCATTCTGAACGTGCCTTGGCTTGAAAAGTTAGCTAGCAGTTTTGAGTTTCGCAATGCAAAAACTGATTTTGATATTATGGTAGTATTATAACTGCCTTTAATTTCGACTATTATGCATTAAATTATTAGGGTAGGCATAAATACTGTTAGACTCTGGTGTAATGTTTCACGAATAAACAGTAACTTTACATAAGCCTTACCGAACCCTTAATAAGCCCAGAACGGCACGGATAGAACTAGCTAAGAATGGTTCGAGTTGACTGATAGATAAATTCAAAGAACTCCTTGTATCCCTAATTACTTACAAAGATGATATAGTCTCAGTCAAGAGAGCTAACGCAGCATTGTTTGTTGTTGTTGTTGTTGTTGTTTTTTTTTTTTGCATTTCTTAAAAAGTATACTTAGGCATTGGTGAAATCAAAACTGAAATATTAGGGAAGTATACTAATGGTTAGCCTCAGATGTTTGTCCTCAATGATGCTGTTGATCGGCGCAACCTTGGATTTTAAATTTTTAATTTTAGAAGAAAACAAAAGCCTCATTCGAACTTCAATACTGTCATCCTCAAGTCTGGGTTTACTTCAACCCACGCAATATTTCAATAGAGCTCCCCAAGTTTTTATTATTATTATTTTACCCCATTATACGGACCAGTTAGGGAAAATTTTTGGACACCACTGGTAACAGCGCTTTTTAATAGTAAACTTGCCAAGTTTGAGAGTCATATTCGTCTTCTATTTTGCAGAAGCTTGCCTCGTGATGGCGGGCAAGATTGTACCCCAACCATACAGACGTCTGTAAAATTTCGCTTCTGTGCAGAACTATATTTTCGATAGTTTTCAATTAATATCTTTCAAACTTGGCAATTTTACTAATTTAAAGGAAACCTTTCCAGCGGGGTCGACGGATTATCCGCCCTAACCTATCCATGTCAAAAGTTGAAACCCGTGGGAATGTCAAGTAGCTAATAACAAAGTTAAGCCTCAAAACGGTCTGTGAAACTCTTTACCTCTATTCACGAATAAACCAAAATAGTATCGGCTGTTGCTGGCTGTGAAATGTTCAGGTCGCGCTTCTTTGGTGCGGTTGTTGAGCTCACAAACGTCTGTAGTCATGACATAATTGAAGCTCTGACATCTGACATCTTCCTCGCAAGTCCTTAAACATTGTGACGGGCTCGAAGTCTTGAAAGTCTTAAAGATGTGTTGTCTTAGCATCATATTTTTAGTGGAGTATTGGCCCGTTGTACATTGACTGAATACTCCGTAAAGCACTTCGCAGATTATAAAAAAAACTGCAGCTGCGGTGACTACTGACTTCATGTAGGGCATTTGGACCAAGAATTTTCCCATGGAAGATTAAAACGTAACAAATTTAACATTAAACACACCAGATTCGCAGCACTCAATTGAAATGACAACTTTTCAATCTTATAACTGCCGTTAACTAAATTCATCCACTCATTTGATGAAACCTCACTAATTCTGTTGTGTGGATTTACTCTCCTGCTGACAACAGCACGACAGTCTGCCGTATTGGAACTCTTGTTCTAAAAATACTGCATTTTGAAATTGCGTTTCTATTTTCGTAGTTTAATTATATTTCTACAAATCGTTTTCTAAGGCTCTTAGTTCTTCAACCTTTTCATCTTTTTCATATACCTAAGAGGTCAGTCTGTCAGTCTGAAGCTGTTTATGAAAATTCTGAAGTGTCCGAGATCTTTCAGAACCTTTATTGCCAGGATTAACATTAGTTCTGCTTCAATTAATCGTCTCCTAATAGAGATTGCTTGGAAAATTCTTATTCAATAATGTTCAGTCAATTTCGTACCAGTGCTCGAGCTTAGTGTGTTCCCTTCAATTCCTACATATTTTAAGACGTCGTATTCCGAAAATATTTAATTTAATGTCTTGTCATTTGGCCTCTCCGCAGGGTGGAAAAATCATTATTTTTTAGGTTGTTCATGATGTAGAGTTGTTCTGGTTGATAAAGAAGTAAGCTGCTAAAATCGTGGACGAAGATCCTGCTGGTTGTCAACGTAGCTAAAAATATTTGAAACGCAGAAAACAAGCAAGAAGTCTGTGAGTACTATGACTATGACTGTTTCCATGGATATCAAAATCAAAACAAAACAAAACAAGCACATTTTCACATGGGACTTCATTTCCACTGGTATTGTTTTGCTGTTTCGTTTCATTGTAAATAATAATTTCTTGTTATCCGCAATTTTCGACTTTTTTTAAAAAAAAGCTGAAGAATATTGTTTTGAGTTTCTTCACAGGGTTTAAATGTCAAAATTAAAAATTGACCTCAATTTTCCTTTTCTAAAAATCAAGACTGATAATTTTTCAATATTTGATGTTGAAAATTGAATTCAATTTTCTTTTTCCTCTGAATGAAAAATTGAATTTTTGACTGGATTTAATTAAAATCTAATGGTTGGGGGAACACGGACGAAGATGAAGTCAAAAGTGCAGCAAATTGCCAGATTATTGAACCGTTAACCTAGAAAACCTAGGGACGAGGCTTAGTTTTTTGGTAGTGAGAACAAAATGGCGGAAAATTTCACTTGTCTCACCAGGAAGAATTAGGCGAAATATTGGCTAAAAACATGGCAAGAACAGCAAAACTGATAACTCGAAGGACGATATCTGCTATTTGGAGAAAATTTGCGAACCTGAACAACCCTTTATTTCCTAACCTTGCCGATAACGTGTACTATCGAAGATCAACTTAACATCGACGAAAGTAACAATAATTTAGCTTTTCTTTTCTTTTTTTTTAACTATGAATTATTTTAAAAGACTAATAAAACAATTATTGAATTCCCATCAGTTTTGGTATCATCTGAAGAATTTTGGAGATCGAGGAGGGCGTTATTAGCCTGGACGTACAGCCTGGACGGATAACACCCTCGTCGATCTCCATCTGGCCACCAGAAAAGGAGGAATATCGCCTTTTCTCGCGTGGGGTGATTTTCACGTGCGCTCGTGTTCACTCGCTCTACTATCCCTGAGGACAAATGGGGGACTACTCGTAGTCTAGGTCATGTGCTATTTAGTTGGTTTAACCAGTTTCGCCTGTTTTTAGTTATTTTTAGGTCCTCGGTAAATGGCTTGTTTTTCGATTGGTTGATTAAAAAATATGAAACGTTTTCATTGGTTAGATCATGGTGTCTGAGGAATAAAGGTTAAACTCGAAAGTTACTTACAATCACTGAGTCGTGACGTAACAAGAACGCTCTTAGTAGCGTTGATTCTTGCTTGCTTGGAGATACAATAAGAAATGAGGAGGCGTTTAGACCGCGAACAGTCGTCCTTCTTTCCTCAGGGCCACGCACGGCGAGGGAAAAAGAAAAACTATGCTCTCGATCTACTGTGACTCAAAATAAAAATAAGACTGCTCGTGATCTAGGAGGCGATTCATTCTACACGAAACAGGATTTCCTCGCTAAACGTGTTTCAATTCCTACTTTATCGACGGTCGAGTATTTTTAGGGTAATTCCTTTTATATCATATTTGAAGATTTGCTTCTGAATTGCTACATAAACGAAAATCAAGGAAACGTGATATTTCAATCATCGCCGAAAATAAACCTTATGCTCATCACAAGACTCATTTGCATATAATGAAAGTTTACAACACCCGACCAGTTAGCCTCACCATCGAAGTTTTACTTACTAAGATTGTTCTTTTTTTTTCGACCACTGAAGTAATTACTTGTTCCAAAGTAATCAACGCTTTCAAGCGATAGAATTCGTGGACCGACCCGTTCCGGAAAAGGTTGACATGGGATTCTATCTATTCTATGGACATTAAGTACTGCAAGTAGAGTGCGTGACAGTCAAGTACAAAGCTATCCGTATAAACACAACCGTGACACATACGTAACATCAGGCGTGTAGTTGAAGTTACTTCCAAGAGTAGTTGAAGGTTAAATCATTGATATCTCAAGTATCTGTAAAGTGCGACGCGACCTCACATCTTAACAACTCCAAAGATCTATCAATTTAATACATACAACAAAGTGAATCTATTTAACCGTAGGGTTCCAGTAATTCCGACAATACTGAGAAACGTAACGCCTCAATACACTACAAAACAGGATTTTCCCGCTATATTATTTTCTCATCCTACTTTATCCACGGTCGAGTATTTATCAGGGTATTTACTTTTTAATACGCCCGCATAAAAACACGAAAATCAACGGCCTCGATTCGGGGAAAATTATATCATTGCCAAGCAGCCTAAACGTGATCAACTTAATGCGTCATTTCAGTCATCGCCGAAAATAAACCGCATGCTCATCACGAGATTCTTTTGCATACAATGAAAGTCGTCACGATTCTTATCCCCAGTTTCCACGGTCTCCGCTAGAAACGCCTGGGACCATGAACCACTATTTGGGGCAGGCACGGAAAAAAATAAAAATAAAAAAACGCTTGCATTTTCTGAGTCTCGTCGCTAAAGCTAGCCTCCCACGCAGGCGTTTTTAGGGGAGCTCGTATTTCGTCCCTCCCCACAAACGCCTGCTCAACCGAGGACGACATTCCTTTTCCATTGTTATATTCGCATGGTAAGTGACCAATAAACGGTTTTAAATAAAGTGTTGACAGGTTAAACACGTCTCATAAGCTTACTTTTGCCTCTCCGAGTCTAACATTTATTATTAGAGGTCATGAAGGTTTCTCAAAGTTTCATGCAGATCACGTGATAATCGAGTTACCCTGCGGTCAAGGTCAGCTTTCCGGAATTTGGAAAGTACAACGTGATTGGCTAAGCTTGGGAAAGGAGAATGTTGTCCTCGTTTGAGCAGGCGTTTGTGGGAAGGGACGAAATACGAGCTCCCCTGAGACTAATTATGCACGTTCTATTTTCTGCCGCTGTCACTGTCCCAGTTCCGGTTCACTGATTCTTGGCGGGCAAATCGTGCATATTAATGAGGGCAAAGACAAACCAGCTCTTTTTAGCTTCTACTTACTCCGCCCTCCTCCTACTCCTCCACAATTAACTTATTTTCCCTTTCTAATTTTTCTTTTTTCTTTTTATTTTCCCTCCACCACATCCACCTCACATCAATCCCACATTGACCCTGCATCGACCTTTTGTTTTAACATAGTTTATTTGTATTGGTATCAATCGTGAATAGTGAAAATCTTACACCACCACCACTGTTTTTACTCCCCCTTCTCCACCCCCTCATTTTTATTGTTTTCACTCTACCTATATGTCTTTGATCGCTGACCGTGGAACTAAACTTTTACTATCCTCTTACGAAACGACTATGTACTGCAGTTAAAGCTTTTCGTAGCTTTTGTTCCAACAAAGTTTAGTTGGTGTACCGTGGTGTTCCGTGGGTGTTTCACTTATCAGATACAAGAAGGATTCCCTGCTGTTTAGCAGCTCAATGTTGAGAGACCATTGAAAGCAGCTTGAGCTCTATTTGAAAGAGATTGATCAGTAGTGCCTTATGATTGACCTCCTGCCACTTTACTAAAGAGGAAAGCGTTCTTGTTTAAAGAAATACGCGAGGTGATGGTAATGCTTTTTTTGTGTTTCGTGAAGGCCGTTTAACCAATCAAGAGTATTTGCAAAGCTTCTGCTCGTAGAAACACTTGCTGTTGACATTTAAGTCCCCGTTAGTGGGGATCAACGCCGAATATCTGTATTTTAAAAGACCCCCCACAACTTTTTTATTGTAATATATTAGCCACATCCTTGTCTTCTTCTGAAAATCTTGTCAGTATTGGAGTATCTATAACTGTCTTCTTGTAAGAATCTAGTCAATGTTGGAGTATCGATACTGTGTTCCTCTGGGAATCTAGTCAGTGCCAGAGTATCGCTACTGTCTTCTTCAGAAGATCTAATCAGTGCCAGAGTGCCGCTACTGTCTTCTTCAGAAGATATAGTCATTGCCAGAGTATCGCTATTCTCTTCTTCAGAAGATCTAGTCAGGGCCAGAGTATCGCTACTATCTTCTTCAGAAGATCTAATCAGTGCCAGATTACCGCTACTGTCTTATTTAGAAGATCTAGTCGGTGACAGAGAATCGATACTGTCTTCTTCAGCTGAAGATCTAGTCAGTGCCAGAGTATCGGTACTATACTGTCTTCTTCAGAGAAACTAGTCAGTGCCAGAGTATCGCCACTGTCTTCTTCAGAAGATCTAGTCAGTACCTTCGCCAAAGACGCAATTTCGAAACTGTCTTTTTAGTCAGTGGTGCAGTATCGGAGATTGCATTTAGAATTAGGTGTTCCATTGAGAAAATAAACAAAGTAGTCCCCACAATTTCGAACTTTAATGTTGATGGACCATTTACAGCAGTTTGAGTTTTTGCGAAAACAGACCCGCCTGGTGACTTGACCTTCTGCCACAGTAGGATGATCGCCGTCTAACCAACCCGTGTGATCTGTATTGCATCTATTTTCTTGAACACAAGACGTTGCCATTTTTGTCCCCGCATCTTCACGTAAGCGGTACCACCCCTGAGATAGTTGACTATCACACTTAGAGCCTGAAGAGTAGGTGACTTTCCTCCCATATCCGCCGGGCATTGTATTGTAGTTTTTACATTCTAGGTAAAAATAATTAAAGAAACCTTACAAATCATGATTCATGTAAAGAAAAATATTCGTGACAGTTTTCAGTTTGTTTTTTTTTTTTTTTTGGGGGAGAACTGCAAATGACTTTTAAAAAAAATCAAGACTGCATGCGGTCTGGATTGGGGTAAATTACGTCGCAAATAATATAATATTACAATAGATCCTTACCTCATTGAAAATTTATACACTGTTCAACCGAAACCATTTTATTTACGGCATACACAGACTTTGCCAAGGTAGATAGTCGAATACTTTTTACGTGTCGGGTCAGAGGGAGAAACTCTGAAGAGATACTCGGGGAGAGAGTACTCTTACCCTCTCATACAACATTTACCATTTTTGACAGAAAAGGTGTAGACCCGTTTCATATACCGTCTACTGAAAAATGGTACCCCGTCCATTATATGCCCGCAAGTCAGAGCTTTGCATTCCTCTTAAGTACTGTAAATGTACCGCGTCTTTGATACGAATAAACCACAATGAACCATGTTTTCTTGTCCTTTTTACAGCCCAAGATGCATCTTTATTAGCCCTGATTTTACTTCCTTTGCAGACCGACATGACGGATTACCCTCGCTTTTCATATACCTCAACAAATGAGTTTCTTATTACCCTTTCATATTACCCGAAGTGGAACCTCACCGCATATAAGGCCATTAGCGACTATACCCCCACCCTGCGATTGATACTATTCAATTCGCTACTTTCCACTATAAAAACTTAAACTGACACCATTTCTATGATATTCTAACGTAGATCTCATCTTATGCATTCATTAAAAACGTCATCCGTTTACCTGTTGGAAGACTGCAAGTCCTTCCATCTCCTTCATAACCTTCTTTGCATGAACACAAATATGAACCAATAGTATTTGTACAGGTTGCTCTCTCATCACTGTCACAATTATGACTTCCACTTGAACACTCATCTATGTCTGCGTGATATTGACAGTAAAGCAAACTTAATATTGTTTCAGTCTTAAAGGTGCTGTTTCATTTAACAAAGGCTCCAAAAGACAGGTTTCTTTTACCTCTCAGTGCTCTTAATCAAGTGCTTTTAAGGTTTTTTCTTTGCATTCTAAGCCGCGCTACATCTTTTTTTTTGTTTGGTCCCGCATCTCATGCATGTGGGGTACCCCAGGTAAGCGAGGTAATTCTCTTTAGTGGGGTAACCCACCTGTCCAAATAATCTCTCATTTTAATTTAATCACGTTTACTTGATAGGTGGGGTGACCCGCCACATGTTTCCTGCATCTATCTGGGGTCCCTCATCGTCATGTAAAGAGGCCCTTTTAAAGGTGGCTGAACACAGTTTTGCAGTTGGTTAGCGGTAACTTGCGTGACGGCGCATGTTTTAATTAGACAAACAAACATGGCGGTGAAAAAAGTGATTGTACACAGGAGACGATTTCTCAAAATCTGCTCACTAAAATTTTGTGATATTTAGCAGAATTTTTACTTTTATCGTATTTTAAATAATGAGAACTTTAAAATGGAAGATGACTGAACAGACGATTTTTGTGACACATTTAATAATTACAGTACAATTATATTATTATCTAAAAACCCGTCTGCTAAAATTTGGTCAAATTGTGTGCAAGTTTATAGGAAAATCTAATGAGCGAATTTTTTGTAAACTGAACAAAAGTGAAATTTTAAGGTTGTATTCAATCGTTGGTGTTGCCATGGAAACTACAAAAACGTCAAATTTTACCGGACAATCAAAATTTTTCATCAGTATATTTTTCACTTGCCAAGTTTCAGCTTGTGAGCTACAACCTTTCTCTTGTCATGATTTGGTAAATGACATATACTCACAAACTGCCAAAACTGTGTTCAGCCACCTTAAGCACTTTATCAGGGCTTGCCCAAGATGTTCTGATAGCTTTTTTTGCTTTTTTACCTCAAAATTTGCTAAACTGAAAATTTAAAAGGTCTTTCGTTTCAGCAAAGTAGCTTTATTACAGGATCTACCGAACTGACGCTCTGTTAAAATCCGATTAAACTAGAGATCCTAGAATCAACATGATAACAGAATCAAAACATCAAAGTAACCGAGTGTGTTGAAAGTACATCGAAAGTTTACTTTGCCGCTTATCGCTAAAAATGAAGATGTTTCTAAGAGCTTTAATTGTCACTTAATGCTGCATGAAAAAATTCTGCCTACCTTCGCAATTTTTACCATCACCATAAAAACCACTGAAACAAGAGCAGTAGTACGAACCGTCGGTATTGACGCAGTTAGCATTGAGATTACAAAACCGCACAGAGGCTGTACACTCGTCTATATCTACATAAAACAGTCATATTTTGTATTAAGGTCTGATAAATATCATGAATATTCTATCCATTTTTTAACAAGATCTAGTAGTTGGCAACCACGTGATAAGGCGGCCATGTTGGCGGTCAATACAATAGAATACTTTTTCGAAGAATTTACATGAAAATAGAGTTAAATTCCCAGAGGAGAGAAATGATTTTGTTCTTGACCACCAACATGGCCGCCGTGACGTCACTTGCAAACCACCAATAGGCTCGATTACCAGCCGCTTTTCGGGAAAAATGAGCATGAGCCCACACTTATCCGCCCCTCCCAACTCAGTTCGAGGAGGACCAAAGATCGAACAGGGGGGTGGGGGGAGGCGGCGGAAATCGAGCCTTAATGCAGCTAAGTGTCTGACATGTACTGCAAGAAAACTCATTTGAACGGTTTAATACTAGGGCCTTTCATCTAGGCATATTTATTCTTAGCTTTCATATATTATTTGTCTGTGTTAGAAGAATCTTGGACTAGACATACTGCACGAAAAAAAAAAAGGGATTTGCTCCTTACAAAGATGTCGCAAATATGTATACTGAGAAGTAAATAGATGGCAAACATGGTAAATGCCATGCACATTTGCATACCAAAAGACGAGGGTTTAAATGACTACGCAAAGGTGGCATTTACCATGTTTGTCTATTTACTTATCAGTATTTACATATTTGCGACATACTTGCAAGGAGCAAATTTGCGCAAATCCACATTTAAAAGAAGATGAAGGTAATTAAATTCTATTAGATATATCGTTATAATCACAAGGTCGAAGTAATCGTTTTGAAAAGTACATAGAAAGCCCTGACTTTGCTGCTTATCTCTAAAAAGATGTGTTTCGAGGAGATTTATATCGTGTATGAATTTATTTTTGTAACAAAGAGTTTGAAACAAATAAAATTGTTGTTGTTGTTATTGCTGCTATTGTTATTGTTGTTGTCTTTATGGTGAATAATTGTACTTACCTTCGCAAGTCTTACCATCACCAGAAAAGCCACTGAAACAGGAGCAATAGTACGAACTGTGGGTATTGATACACTTAGCATTGGGATCACACAACTGCTTTGAGGCGTTACACTCGTCTATATCTAGAAAATAAAAACTATTTTTTAATAAGGAATATGAACTTAATAGATCAACAGGTAACTCGTTCATCCATCCATCCATCCATCTCTTCATCCATCCCTTCATTCATCCATTCATTCATTCATTCATTCATGTTAATTCATTTATTCACTAGTTAAACTCACCTTCCGTGCTCATGTTGCAGTAGGCCAGCAGAACATTTCCAGGTTTAATGGAATCAAACCAATATTTCCCACTGACAGCTTTCTCTCCTTCACTAGCCTTGATTTCTTTGCAAGTCTCAGCGGGTAGTTCAGGAAGTGAGCCAAGGGGGACTAAACCAAAAAGTGTTTCATTATCAGTAAATCTCTGTAATCTCTGTCAAATAATTATCTTTAACGATAGCAGTGATAGGACGATGACGTCAATTATCATTAAAGAAGGAACTGGAACCATTCGCCATCTTGGATCCACTATTTTGAATTAATTATTGAATGTGCTCCATTTTACTCAAAACCTGTTTAAATCGAGGTAATCATGACTTAAAATTTGATCTCTGTGTGAGAATGCTTGGAAAGCAACAAAAAAAATTGCAAGTTATTCAAATTCCGAAAGAAATGAACATTTTAAATTCATGTTTTCTTTTTCTCAAATTAGTCACTTAAAGACTTTGATTACATTAACAGTTATAATAAATCTTAATAAATCACATAATGCGATTCAATAAGTAAAAAAGAATAAATCAAAAACGTTTTGTAATAGAAAAAAAAAAGAAAAACATAACTGTTAAAACTCGGTTGCCACAGTAACGTCAACGTAAACGTAAAAACGTACAAGTCACAATGACTTCAAAATGTTCCGAGCTGAATTTAAAGGAATATTCGCCAAGTTTGACGGTCATAACTTGGACAGTTTTAAAATTATTCAACTCTAAATCCCACCCCCCCGTCTGAATCAGTTTAAAAACCGCCCTGCGCTTTCGCTATGGCGTGATCTCGTCTAGCTGGGTTGATAATTTTCCATTGTAATCGAGATTATTAGGCAGTTAGTTACAAAGCAGGTTATCGGGCAATTACAAAAGACGAAAACAGCTAAGTGATTTACAATTTTTTTGCATAAATTCTGTGCTACCAAAGGTATAAAAGGCCATGGGACAATACATAAACAGAGAATATATCGCAGGTAGAAAATGGCAAATTATTGAAACCATTCTTGTTTTGTGTTGACCATGTCAATAGAAAAACACTAAATTTACCTCGGCTAATGCCTCGCGTGAAGTATAGTCTGTCAGGACTTGAGATGAAATCTCCAGGCTTGGCTTTACTGGTGCGGTTGTTGAACTCACACCTTTGGTGGGGCATAACAAAATTGAAACTTTGACATCGATCGTCTTTGCGACATACAAACACGCACAGATGAGGGAGTTCAGCATTGACGGTTTTATAGGTATGTCCCTGTAACATCCAGCCATAGACAGATGTACCGACATTACAATGCTGTCTCAGAGCCATTATCCCGTCGTTGATGAGCATGTCACCCAAGACAAGAAAAATAGAGAAACGTATAGTTTGTCTGGCCATCATGCCTTTAAAAGTAAAACAGTGAGAAGGTTATAATGGAGCTGTGCATGACACGACTGGATCAGTGGCACATCCAGACCTTCAGATAAGGGGGAAGGGGGGTGTCTCAAAAAAATAGGGGGGAGCGGACCCCTCGGGCCCCTCCCCTGGATCCGTTACTGTGGATAGTAAACACAATCTCTTCAAAATATACCAACTTCGCTTCCTAATTCGCTAAGGAAGTGGAGAAGTTACTTGTGAATGACAAAATCGCAGCTGGTCAAACAAATATGCTCCCCATGCATTATATGTCTTATATCAAAAGTTACAAATTAACAACAAAAATAAATTCTGAAAAACTGTTAGGCTAACAAGTGTGGAAAAAAAAGAACAAAACAAAAGACAATTGCAATACTCTCAGTATCCTTTAAGTCTGTCCATCGGTGCCTTCACTGGACCATACTGTGTTATTACAACTTATTTTCAACGTTTTGATCAGTCGTTTGCGTTTTTATGTTTCACTCAATTTGGTGTCAATTCTCTCGCTGACTGTTTGAATTTTGATCGGTGACGACAGCTACGAAAATGTCCATGTAATATTGCTAAAGCAAATCGTTCAAAAAATGTGTGTAGAAAGACTTTCTTTAAACCATCGCACTTATTTTGTTGATTGTTTGAAGAGGCAAAACTAGCAAACAACAGCAATCCTGAGCTCGACTAACTCGACTAACTATAACTTCAGATAAAAGTTGTTCAAAAAATATTAATCTATGTTTAATTTTCTTTGCAGAAAGATCCCTTTTTTCTGGGAAATTGTTTATTAACCTCGTAAAATTCTGTTGGGGTGTAGGAAAAAGAAAATAACCTGGGTCAAAAAAAAGACTGGCCGTCTATCATTTCGGCGTTTTTAGCTACAGCCCTTTAAACTACTTCTAAGACGAAATGAAAACTCTTTATGCACTTTTACAGCAGATGAGTTGTCCTTACTTACCTCTTCGCCGAGGATCGGTAAAAGATTTTGCTGTTGCTGGAGGGACCAAAAAGCAATTATAGTTGTATACAGATTAAATATTTATAGCCTTACCTCAAACTGATGCGGTTTATAAGAGGGGGAATAAGAAGGTGTGATATGATAACTGTTAGACTGGTAACTATAACATTTCCTTAAACCTAATCCTCTGGCCTTTTCTCAAAGCGAAAATATAGAATGTGGCTGCAGATTTTGTCAACATTTTCCTCAGATAAATGTTCGTATGTAGTGAATAACCTCTTCTCTGTTTACTGAGCCTAAATCCTTTTCTTTTAGATGGTAATCAGAGGGAAAAGCAACTTGATTTTATGATGAATTTTTTATGATTTGTTTCACTGTTGTCCTGTGCGCGTCAATAAAAACATTGGACGTGATGCGGTGCGATATTACTATAAAAACATAAACAAACTCCCCAAACTCTGTTTTCGTGTCTTCCATACGATGTTTGAGGAGTGACTTTAAAATAGATATCTGTTTTGATCCTTTTTTTGTCATTCTTTTTTTAAAGGCTGCAAATTTCATTTCAGAGGTATTTGGTTCGATTCAATTTGTTACTTTTTGACTCCTAGAATGAGTTTTTAACTTCCAAAATTTGCCCATTTAATTTCTCAATCAAGTTATTTATTTTGCATCTTTTTTCACTGGATTCAGTTTCCAAATAAGTTATAGTCATTCCTTTGGGCAACCTATAGCTCCAGAAATCTACTTCAGGAGGTCGGAGGTTAAATTATGGCTGCGATCCCTGAAGGTCAAGTGATATAAATCTACGTAAACTACAGTTTACACTGACCACGAGCATTACCTTGCCATAGGATTTACTTCATACTTTATGGCTAACATGCTACCTTTAGATCGTTTCCACATGATGTCACGGCGGTAATATTTGTTTACAAAACAATTAATCGGCGGCCATGTTTGTGTACCAAACAAAAAATCCTGTGGTGATTAAACTCTTTTCTTATGAAAAAACTTTCTTTTGTTCCAAGAAATTTGCATAGCGGCTAACCAAGTGATTAAAAACGATCTATATTAGTCATTCAACGATTCATGATTTATTTCAGCAGAGACGTCTAATTTTTTCAACATAAATACAGCTATACGAGCTTCTAGGCCTGAATGATACTGTGACAACGAAATAACAAGAAAAGAAGATTTATCCATTTGATTTTCCAATCAAGCTTTTGATGTCCAAAATTTCTTCTCTTGATGCGAAATAAGAATAGATCCAACTGTTTTTCGGGACTTTACAATTTTAAAAGGTCTGAATTAAAATGTTCACCTTAAGAATTTCCCTAAATCTATTTAATCATGTAATGAAGAACACAGCGAATCAGAGGCTCGAAATTTGTTCGTTACATTTATTTTATTTTTTTTTTTCAGTGGTATTTTTATTTTCAGTTTATTCCTGTTTGGGCTGTGATGGAAAGGTTTGTTTATTTAAAATTACGATTTTTTTTTCTCTCTCTTTTTTCCTAATGTATGGCGTGGAAAGAATGTTGGAACCCCATACGTAAGGTAAGGTAAAGTAAGGTAACGCCTTTATTTAAGAGGATAAACACGTGACAGCTATGTCAATTAATGATAAAACTGATAATACGTGGACCATGCACTCATTAAACGTTCCGTCTCGGACCCTGATGAACACTTCCGGTCTGACATTAGAAAGACACTCTGCACCAGACGATAAATTGTGAAATTGTACAGTTGTATAGGTTGCTGTTAATTTTTTTTTTATTATTTCACTCAACTTTTATTTTTCCTTTGTTTCAAATTTATTAGCATACATTACTATACCCCAAAACAATAGAAAGATAAAAATTAACTACAACATACACACTGTTAAAGATTCCAGACCAAGAAATCCGTACCCTATTCTGCGACACATACCTGTTTCTGCCATAAAGGAAGTAGCGAATGGGCCTTCCATAGTTTTGTTTCCTTTAATAGAGTCAGTCTAATATTTTATTTTCTGATAATGTGCCAGGATAAAATACGACCCTTTTCAGCTGCATGCTGATAGTGGTATCAATGACAGTATTTTTTTCATCTCAATTTTGTTTTAATTCTGATGTGTTTTAAATCAGTAAATTAATAATTTATATTGGCCTTCCTAACTACTTCTGAAATATAAATCGGTCTAGATTCACAGTTAATTCCCAATGTTACATTCGCTTGACTAAAAGAAAAGCTTACAATAATCGATCCGATTTCTCTTCCCCACCACTATTTTTTTTCGTTGTTTAATTTTGCGTGTACTCGGCAATTCCACTTTATGACACCCCTGCACTTCTCGTGTGAATTAACAAAACCTTTGATTGTTTGTAAGGGATTCATATTCCTGCTTATTAATGAAATTGGTTAGCTTTAAGTTCTATTTAAAGCATTCCTTTGAAATGTCATTAACAATGGTGAAAAAAATGTTGTATATATTAGCCACTTTAGGGAGCGCTGCTTCGATTTATTTTCAGTATAATTAGGCAATATCCTTCCCTCTATATTAGCTCAAATAATAACTACGGCCTCAAGACTTGCACTGATCTCCAACAAATCCGTTAGCTTCTCTTCCATCATGGTTTGAGAAGGCATGATACTTAAGATCGTGACCGAAATCGTTATTAAAGTCGAACGGCTGTTTAACTGGAGTTGCCAAGATTTCGTCCTTACTCTTCGCTTTTATTAAAGTGATTCGTTTAAGGTCACTGGTTTATGAGCAACTAAACATTTATTTAAGCCATGTCAAAGCCAAAGGAACCACATTCGATTCATTAGTTTAGCATTCTTCAATGCTTTCAAAGCAAATGATGGCAACCGGATTAATTAAAGCAGCCGGAACTGTTTCTGATGGAAGATTTAATCGAAGAGATTCTCACCGTCAGTATCCTAACGCACAAAGATCAGAATTGCTCTTATTTATAATAACGGTTCAAAAATAAGAGCCATTTCATATATTTCCATTAATATCAAACCTGAAAGTCAAAATAGCGTTTAGTCTTTTAGTTTTACTACTGCATTATCGCATATTATGTTCACAACATAACTTCCCTTTGCTAGCTTCCAACCCTCCACAGATATCACGTGACTGCTATTAATACTATAGCAGTTTAACTCATTTGCCTCTTATTGTCAATAGTCGACCAATTTTAATTAAAATCTTCTTATTTCTCTGAAATGTTTAAATATGAATAGTCAATGGCATAAGAATATATCCGGCCCCTGTCAATCTGTCTTATTATCAGTACAGCTGAGCTAAAGTAGATATCAGTTGAAGTGCCCGAGTTTTTCTGGACTATCACTTTACGTTCGAGTATATAACACCGCATATACGTGCAGCGCTCTAAATCTTTGAATTCAAGCAGCGATAACACCCTATACAAAGCCTACTCGTGGTCTTTAGAAGGAGGAATACTTAAAGATGAACGACCTGGAAGAACTTCAAATCGACCTTGAATCAAGAGGTACCAGCCTACTCGTTCTAGAAACATCGGTCATGTTTTTGAATAATGTGCTGGCAATTGTGGGAAACATATTGACCTTGATAATTGTTGTTCGCACCCCTCGTTTGCAAACAGTTCCGAACAAGTTCGTCGTTTCGCTGGCACTTTCTGATCTTATGATGGCTGTTCCTTCCACTATATTGACAACGGCGATCCTCATAGAAAGCAACTGGCCATTTGACCAGGCCACCTGCCAATTTCAGGGATACTATGGAATTACTCTAGCTTTCGCGTCCTCAGTGTCTCTAGCTTTGATGTCATTAAACAGATATTATCGCATCGTGAGGCCAAACGAATACCGAAGAATATTCACTGCGCGTACAACATCGTTAATGATAATGGCAGCTTGGTTGATTGCATCCCTTGTTCAACTTCCATACGTAGTGGCGGGGCACAGATATATTTTTCATCCGGGTAAGATCTACTGCAATCAAGATGGAAAGAAGTTATTCTCTACAATTTTGGTCTGCATTTTCGGTGGCATTCCCATGAGTGTCATCTTCTTCTGTTGTCTAAAAGTTTTTCGTTCTGTACGTGCTCACAAAATCCAGCGATTCCGGGACGTTGCTTGGAAAAGTGTCAATGTGGAAGACATAAAAGTCTCCCGAATGCTCTTAGTAATAGTTCTTGCCTATGTGATTTGTTTCTTGCCAGTTATAATCATAGAGTCAGTAGACTTTATAATTGGCGGATCCTATTTGCCAAGGCCAGTTTACTTTTTTTATACCTTTTCTGCGACTTTATCTTACTCTGTAAATCCCGTCGTTTATGGTGCAATGAACAGGGCTTTTAGACAGGAATATAAACGCTTGTTGTGCCTGAATAGATTTTGTGAAAATTATCCACCAGGTACTGATCAAGCTTGGCTTTCTTTGTCAAATGCACGAATTGCTGTGCTGCCATTTAAAGCAAAATTGCCCCAAACGGTTACGGAAATAGTCAGAATGGAGTTTCGGTCGCGCAAAACTTCTTTGAGTAGTAAAAGTTGATGTTAATATGCGCGCAAATGAAAACGTACAGGATTAGCCTGTATATAACGGCCATTCTTGAAAAAATAAGGTATTAAAAACACAATAAATACAAAGTTGGTTCTGATGACCAAACCTAAAGAAAACTGAAAAATTTCAATAGTGGTTTTTGAAAACTTGTTTACCTAACAGTGTTTCAAAGTTCATTTTTGTTGTTTGTAACACTGTATGCTTGGGAGATTAATATATATTTGATAAGAAGCTGGGGGTTTGTCATTCCCAAGTAGTTTTTCAATATATTATGAAATAACTAAAATAGAACGCGCGCTCTTATTGGCCGAGAGACCTGTTTGTATGAGAGTATGTGAACATGGTTGTGACGTCAAGATGTTTTGTTTTTCGCGCGCTAATCCCGCAATTACGAATTTGAAAAACTTTTAGAGTTGAAAACTCGACAATATTACTTTATTTCCCCATTCCCTCATTCGCTAAAACTTGGAAAATCTTTACAAAACATGCTGTGTCAATTTTTTTTTTTTCGCTTAATGAAAGTGACATTTTAAACGAGAGAAATCCGTAGTTTGGAAAGCCACTTTTTTCCAAAACAAGAACTGATTACGCGCGCAAGACTTCGAGTGCAATACTTTATGACTGGTGAGAATGTATCTTTTAATGAGTGCCATAACAAAAAGTTTTGCGTTTTTTTTTTTTTATCGCGAAAGTTAATTTATAAAAGCAATAGAAAGCCTTTTTTCTGTATTTGCATGGCCTGATATAAACAAACGAGGGGTTGGGAGACATCTCGACAGCCTTTTTGTTATGAAAACCCACGACTTCGTAACTTGCATAACCGTCGCGAATTCTCCCAACCCCTCTCGTGTTTATATCAGGCTATGCAAACACGGAAAACGTTTTCTATTGCTAGTTATAAACAAAATTGACTAGACAGCTCCTGCCTCGCTCCCAGTCGCTCGCGATCACTTTTTGGGGGACATTGAGTTAATTGTCACCCCCCTCTCGCGCTTTTCGCTTGTATCCAGCTCTCGCGTGTTCCCCGCTGAGCCTTGGGGGCTTAAAACATAGCGAAAACTATTTTTTGGTTGATTTCCTCTTTTACAGCATAGTGATATGAAAGTGACATTTGTTACTTACCTGTTTGCGAAAGAGTCGATAGTTAAATAAAAGCTTCATGTATGATGTCGGTTAACTATGTTTAGCTTTAACCTAAATTACTGAGGTTTGAAGTTTTTGCGGTTTGGGACTGACACAACATGAGGTTAAATTCAAACTGCTGTCTCTAAACAGGTTAATAATTTATTTGCTAGCTGCGATTATTCTTCTCAAAACTTCCTCTCGCCTTTTAAAGGTTTTTGTTTCTGGTTTTTAACAGAATGACCCACAAAAATCAGCTTCCTAAAAAAAATATATATATATATTTTTATTTTTCACAATTTTAATTTCGAATGGTATAAAATCTAGTCACGTTTTGACGTAACAGCGCAGGTTACAGTCCGTTGATGAAAAGAATTCTATTAATTTTTCTTCTTTTCAGAAGTGACATTCGTTAATTTTTACTGGGATTGAGGGAGATAAAATTCAATGGATTCTTCAATGTGATTATCAGAGAAAAAAATTATACACACATACCCTCTTCTTAAGAACAGTCCCAGTGCTGCGAAAGTTATGATATGGAGATTATAGCATGGAGAGTAAATTATTCAAGACATGTTACTGTGTTAATGATATATGAAATAAATCATAAAATTATATGAACTGCGGAAATGAAATGAAAATACTGTATTATGCTAAAGTTGATTGGCTGCGCTAAAAAGAACCGTACATTTTTTGTGGTCTGGCAGGTCTGAGGTCTTTCATTTATGGCTCTTGACTGTGATCTAAGATGATTGCAAATTTTTTGGGTGTACATGTAATATTATTAACACTATGTATGATTTGTTTCACTCTTGGACTGTTTGCAACCATTTTCCACTGTAATCACTTAGCCATTCCCTCAAAAGTCACATGAATGTGTCCTTGAGTTAACTGGATTTTTGGATTACAGGTTTATAGCTTGATTCAAATTATGAATCTATTAATAGTAGCTTCGCTTTTAGCCCTGGCCAAACAAGGAGTTTGACTTCGAGATTACCAATTGATATTACAAGAAGATACTGCACCAAACTGTATTTACAAAATTAATAGAAGTATTACTTATTCCCACAATGGAAAAAGGTTTATAAAAAGGTGCAGATTGCAATTGTCTTCATGGACCTTGCTTAAAGGAGTTTGCAATGTACAATTGTGAACAAATTCTGTATATTTAAGGACCAAACTCAAGTTTCTTTATTTATCTGGTAGTCATCAACTATACCTCCTTTATAGAAATTAAGAACCGACTTAGCCTAAATTGCCAATAACTACCCCCAATGGCTCTTGATCACATTAGATTAGGCCTGGAAAACAAATTCTTCCCAAACAAAATAACCTAATCGCCCACCTACACCATGCACCAGAAAAGTAATTCTTAAAGTTTATCACTAAAAAATTGTTCCTGTTTGTGCGGGGACATGAACTTGCTAATTCATTGCAGTCATTCAGAGTACATGAGATATATAATTTTTAGCTTATTAAAAACTTTTAGAGAGACATAAGCTCCATGGTTGGTATTTTTTTACTACTTTCCATTATATTGAAAATATTAAGGGAACATATATGTTTAGATAGTTCGTTTTGTCTGTTCCTGGGTCGGGAGTATGTTCAATGATTTATGTAGCGATCCTTGAGGATAGATGCAAGTTCTACAACTATAGGATTCTATAATTACCTCAGTTGTCACTGCAGATTTTGATTGCATGCAGTTCCCTTCAAGAGCCAAGGCATTCAATTTTTCCTTTTTCTACAGTTGCAATTTTTGGTTGTTGGACTGGTAGTGGAGATTTGCGCAGATTCATCGCAATAAATCGATAGATTATACTTCTGAAGTCTGGAAATAATCACCCTTGTAGTTCCCGAAACGTCGACAGTTACTTCTCGGCAGTCTGCGGTTATACTTCTCTGAAAACAAAACCAATTTCTGAGGCATCATGTATATTGGTTGTGAATTGTAAAACTTTAACGTAAACTAACGAGGTTTAAAGGTTTCGCAATTTCAGATACTTTATTTAAGGACTAATATTATTATCATTATGGAAACCTTATGGGGGCGCAAACTTGCTAATTTAATATTGCACTTACATTAATTCAGAGTACACACTAGATATATACGTATATATATGGTTTTCTGTAGATTATTGTAAACACTAAGTACAAACATTTTTCTCTTTTAAATAAAGGGTCAGCATTTTTTTAGTACTTTTCATTTTACACATTTGTTCCTGTTTGTTGGGGCACATGAACTTGCTTCTTTATTGCAGTCATTAAGAGCACGTAGTAGATATATATTTTTAGTTTATTAAAAACTTTTATAGAGACATAAGCTCCATTTACTGTAGGGTTGGTATTTTTTGACTACTTTCAGGCACCTCACATAAGGGACCGTATGTGTTTAGACAGTTTGTATTGTCTGTTGCTGAGTCGGAAGGATGTTCCGTTATTTTTGTAGCAATCCTCGAAGCTCGCGATGCAAATTAATTTCAGGCTCCTTTATTACAAATGGTTCAATTAACAGCCGTCTCCTCAGAGTAGCATACTAACAATATATTGGATACCTGATAACTCTTATAAAAACTTCCTCAAGCCTTAACTCGCTCGCGGCACGTAATCAATCATTCTGCTTAATCAACATAAGGATTAATAATAACAATGACCATGATGATGATGATGAAAAGGATGATAATAATTCTTCATGACATACTCATCTTCATTCAATAATTGTTTAATTTTACATAGCAAACGCATTTTTAAGATGCGAAGATGATCTAAAGGGCGCAAATAGATAACTCTTTTAGTTGGCCCACGTGGAGTACGCCCTTGGCGACAAGAAATGAATTGCAATTATAATTTCCAGTGGGAAAAAGCAATCACACTTACGACTGTGAATATGAAATTTCTCGGACTGATCAACCAACGTGAAAGCGCTTCAGGCAATATGAAAGACTTTCGAAATTTCGACTAGTTAAAGCACCAGTCCCATCACAAAGACCAAAAAAATACAGATCATGAAACAGTATGTATGAATTGCATGTACGTAATACGATGTGGTATGGTCTAACTACAGAGGAAAGACAAGATAAAAGAAAAATAATAAAATAATCTCATTGAATTAACTTAAATAATAGCAACCTGAACATACACAAGAATGTATTATTTAACAGGCTGATGGGTTATATTTTTATGATTTAAAACCAATTTAATTATTTGCTTATTATTCTCTATCATTTTGAGTTTGAGTTCCTTTTCTTGGGTGATTTTAGCTAAGAGCCAGTCAGAATAGTTCACCAGATACACTCTTTTTTACAAGAACAAATTTATAAGAACTTCGAGGCATAAAATTCAGAAATTTAGGAATATTTAAGAATAATTTGAAAATTTATAAATAGAATACATTTATATGTTTTGAACTTAACCGTAAAATTATTCCTTTCTCTGAACGACAAAACAAGCGACCAAAGCGAAAAAAGGTGCATTACTGCAATTTATACCCAATAATAAAACGGAAAGGTCAGATGCTATAATTTAAGAATAATACAAGTCATAGAATATTTTCTCGAAAAACGTCCTTTAAAAAAGAAAAGAGTGTATGTATCGGTAGCAAAGCAGTTCTTATGATACTTATGACATGTAGATTATAGTATGGAGAGTAAATTATTCAAGACATGTTACTGTATTATGCTAAAGTTGTTTGGCTGCGGCACTTCCAGTTAGTTTGCAGGAAATAAATCGTAAGTTACTGAAAGGTCGATAGTTTGTAAATGTACGTTCCAGGCCACTTTTTTATGTAAAAGAAAACCAGGGCATTTTTACCAAAGATGAAAAGACACCATGCTCTAAAGAACAGTGGATGATCTTAGTAACTTTCGTAA